GCATATGACTTGTGCTGTTGAAAGCATGAACAGTCTTTAGTCGATAGAACACCAGCTGTTTAACGCTCACTTCTCACTAGCAGGTGGTGTCTTTTTACCAAACATCTACGTCACTTTGTAGGTACAAGCAAAAATCTACACTTTACCACAACCATCACATACACTTCCTCAAACATCTCTTTTACAATAATACAAAAATCAAGCAAGAATCTAACATACAGCAGTTCAAACAAAAATGATTCCAAATTTCAGATTTACAAAGATTTTAATTTCAAAACCTTATCAAAATTCAATTATTTCTAAAAATTCAGGCTACAATGCTTTTAATATTTAATTATTATCGAAAATTTTAACTGAAATTCATTTTTAAATCAATTTTTATTAGAAAATTCTATGAAAATTCAATATTATTTAAGTACAAAAGTAAATAATTTATTGAATAATTGAATGTTTCTTAAAATTAAATTCTCATAAAGAGTTTAATCAAGATTTTTAAAAATAATTAAACTGCTACAAAAAGTATTTTAATAAAATATGTAAAAATAATTGAATTTTTTTTCAAGAAAAATATTAAATTATTATTTATGAAATTAAATTGAATTTTTGCAACGAATTTTATTGGAAATTTTCAAAATAATTGAATTCCTGAGAAGAATTTTATTATTCAAAAAAAATATAATTGATTTCTTGCTAAGAACTTTAGTAAAATTTTTTTCAATAATTGAATTCTTGAGAAGAATTTTATAAAATTTTTTTTAAATAATTGATTTTATTCAAAAAAATTTATTAAAATTGTGTTTGAAGTAATTGAATTTCTATGTGAAAATTTTATTTATTATATGAAAATAATTAAATGTTTGTAAAGAATTTCATAAAAATTTTTTTTATATAATTGAATTCTTTTCAAAAATTTAATTATTTAATTACAAAAATAAATAATTTGTTAAAATATGTAATTCTCATAAAGAATTGTATCAAAATTTTGTTTATATAATTGAGTTGTTAGGAAGAATTTCATAATAAATTTTCAAAATAATTAAATTCTTTCACGAAATTTAATTAAACATGTATTAAAAAAAAATTTTTTTTAAAGTAAATTCTTTCGAAGAATTTTAATGAAATTTTTAATAATAATTACATTTTTCGAGGAGTTCATTAAAAATTTTATTAAAAATAATTGAAATCTTGCGATGAGTTTTATTATTTATGAAAATAAATTGAATTTTTGCAACGAATTTTATTAAAAATTTTTAAAATAATTGAATTCCAGAGAATAAATTTTACTATTTATAAAAATAATTAATTTCTTGCGAAGAACTTTATTAAATTTTTTTTTTAATATTTGAATTCTTGCGAAAAAATTTATAAACATTTTTTTAAATAATTGAATCTCTTGGGAAACATTTTATGAAAATTGTTTTCAATAATTGAACTTCTGCGTAAAAATTTTATTATTTATGAAAATAATTGAATTTTTGCAAAAAAATTTTATAAAATATTAATAAAATAAAAAATTGAATAATTGAATTCTTTTCGGAAATTTTTTATAAAAATAGTAGATATTGAAAATAATTGAATTTATTTCTGAAAAAAAAAAATTAAGACTGGAAAGTTTCAATATATAACTAAATCCTTTACTATAAAGGAACATAAATATTTTTAGTTAATTTGTTATTAATTAATTAATTAATTAAATAATTTCTTTTACACTTCAACATAATTTCCAAACATTCGATTAATCTCATGAATCTGTAAATTGAATATTATGATAATAAGGAAATATATACGCGAAAGGGGAATCAAAGTATTTTATCTTTATCTCGATATAAATTAGATAAAAAAAAATGACCTTTTTTTAGCGTATAGCTCATATTAACGCTGATATATAAAAACAGATGTTTTATCAATCGATTAATACCTGCGAAATCTCTCATTTACGATAAAATTAAAGAGAGATTAAATCTGAAAGTTGTTTTTTTTTTGCGTATACGACGAATGAAAAAACCAATCAATTGCGAATAAGAATTTACTGTTACAAAAAAATATTTAAAATTATTTATCAATCGTTTGATAAATCTATTACCGCCTCCTCCCATGAGAAAAATAGTTAATTACTTTTTTTACTGAAAAAGAATTAAAAAAAACTTCTTGCCTATTTATAGGGAATTAATTGTCAAAATGCGAAATATTTTTTTTTTTAACCATTATCATTGCATTCGTTTAGAATATTTAAACAAATATTTGTTAAATTAACTTAAAAATCTATTATCTATTTTATGTGAAATGTGTAAATATTTCGACTACACAAGATATTTGTTGGAGATGTCGCGTATCGACTGACGCCTACTCATACTATAAAACATTCCTTTGTTAGCAAATGATTTCTCACACTTAATGTATCTCTGTGTGTGAGTCATAAATATGTATAAAAAAAAGAAAGGTGTGACTCACAACTGGAACTTGCCAAAAATGTCCTGAAAAACAGGATATTTATAAATTTAAACACAATAGTCAAAGAAAAGGAGAGTTTCGTTAAAATTTAGCAAAATTGCAATTTAAACAATTAAAAGATAATTCCCAACAGTGTAAAATCAGATTTTTTTTTGACGTCGAGCAAAAAATTTACCGGAAAAAATATATTCACGAAATTCGGACTTTTTGTAATTAAAATATTTAACATATTTAAATTTTAATCTCATTAATCTCGTCATTAGAGATAACCTTACCTACCTAAATTTTGAAATAAGCAGATAAGTCTACACGCGAATTCACTCCTTGAGTAAATCGAGTAAATTAATTAATTATAACTAATTGATAATTTATAACGGTTGAGAATTTCTGAAAAAATTTTCTAAAAAAGACTATACTTGAAACGAAACTAAATGATTGTAATCACATTCGTGATTTGAATTGAAATGAATATTAACATTTAAAAATATTAAATATTATTTAAATCAGATTTCATTGGTTTAATAAATATGCTTAATAAAAAAAAAGAAAAAAAAGACGTAACATAACCTTATTCTCAACACCTACCTGCATGCCACTCCCAGCATGAATACGATGAATACTAACCTCTTGTAATATAAGATATTGCAAAAATAAATTTCTGACCTACCTTACAGAAGAAATTTTTCGCCGGTTCTTCACCATTTGGAGAAAAAAGTTGAAAAAGTTTGTAAAAAACCGAACAATATTAACAATTGTGACTTTATACTATATAATCTTTTGGATAGAAACAATTATTTTATTGGAAAAACTTTGAATATTGCAAATTTTTGTTTGCCTGTCTACTCGCAGCAGGCAGAAGAACGTTAAATGAAAATTGCAAAGCAGAGTTGGGAAACTCAAGAGAAGAAATTTGCGTCTGCGCGCGCAGGTGGGGAACTGTGAACGAACCTTTACATTTGAGCGGGAAACTGAATTTTAAATCGCAAATCGACTTCATGCACAAATTAATATTAACTTCATTATAAAAATTATAAATTAACACAAATTCTATACTTTTAATACTTATTAAAAAAAAAGATCGGCTGTATTAAAAAGAAAAGTTTGCAGTTTTTGATACTTTCGCGTTAAATTTGTAAACTATTTAATTAAAAGTTTATCAGCACTATTATTCCCTAAGGGGGCGTTCACAAATGTCACGCACTTTTTGAGATTTCTACCCCCACCCCCTAACAAGCAATTTAAGGACTTTTTACAAATTACAAGAGAAGAAAATCTCTTTTATTCATAAATTTTGCTCATTATTTTGTTAAAATATAGTTTCTTACGAAGTTTTAAAACGTTTTATTAATGACTACATCTAAATTTACCGAGATCGTAAACTACACTGTAAAAAAATCTGGTGTAAAATAACACGAAACTTGTAATTTCACACATCAAAATTATAGGTTGTACGTAGTAAATTTATTTCGTTCCAAAAGTAGTTTTACTATTTTTAATAATTTTACATTATACGACTATGTAATTTAATAGTTTTGTGTAAATTTACTACGTCCGACGTAGGAAAATTTGATCACTATGTCCGACGTGGTATTTTTACATTGCGTGTATTTCTACACTTTGACGTAATATTACGTCGCACGATCTGTACAATTACATGGCGAATGTAATTTTCTTATTCCTTTAAGATTTTCAAAAGATTTTCAAGTTTTTATAATAACTCTAAAAAAGTGTATATAATGTACATTTATAGAAAGTATATGCTAATTTATAAGTAAATAATAATATAACAAAAAGTTTTGGGCTATATTTCATAAATACAAAAAGTTACGATTGAAAATATTATTTCAAAAAATATTTGCAGGTTATGTAGATTACAGTCGGCGTGTAAAAATACCACGTCGGACATAGTGACCAAACTTTCCAACGTCGGACATAGTAAATTTACAGCAGATTTTTTTACAGTGATATTAAAGAAATAGTTCATTAAAATTGAAAATGTTGCTTCTAGTCAATTACACGTTAATTATAGTAGTTAAATTAATAAATTCAAGTATTACCCGAACTCCATCCGACGAGCAAATCTTTTAGCAATTAAAAATCAAATCATTACGAATTACAAATTCCTGCTCCTCAAGTTTTCGTTACATGCAAAATAATCAAAAAGTAAAATATCCAAATCAAAATATTCCATAAAAACTAGTTTTTCATTTAAATAATTAAAAGCAAACTTTACAAGATAAATCTAACACAAACATAACCTATAATTCGTTTGCTTCTTCGGTACTTGGGGGCAAATAACAATTGAATTTACCTTCAAATATTTAAAAATTCAAACTAATTTCAATTATTTAAGGAATAAATCCTTATATGAAAAGAGTAGATATGCAAATTAGGTAAAAAAAGACATTCTGAATGTTATTTATTTTCGAAAGAGGAAGAAAGCAATACCGTTACCTGAAGAGAGACAATTTTATGCTATTTTCATTTAATAAAAGAAAAATGGGAATGCGTTAGATTTTCTGCGTTATAAAATATAAATAGCATGCAAATTATAGATGAAATATTTATTCGAGTCGAGTATTACATTTTTAATGAACAATTCATATAAATATTTAAATAGGTACAAATTATATGCAATATTTGACTTTTACTGAACATAATTCAGAATTCGGGAATATGATCCCATTTTTTACATTTATGGCCTAGTTACAAAATGCAACTCAAAATGAAGTATATATAGTATTTAGTAAATGCAATTTAATTATTATGGCACATTAAGGAGACAATTTTTTCAATTTCATTAATTTCAATGTAAATAAAATAATTATTCTCCTTACTATTATAATTACTAGAGTAGATAACGCTATGCCGTTTGAATTATACAAATCTTTTTCTATACAGTGGAATGTTAAGTTTCTTTTAATTTTTATAAATGACCAGTTTATTTAGACAAAAAATAAAATAGAATTTTGGTTCTGTTCTTTCATGAAAAAGAGTGAAATTGTTTGTTATTGAATTAAAAAAAGTATTAAAAATTGGGGAATTATTTATCGTTAGTTAATTTTTATACTTTTAAAAAAATTAACTAACGATAAATAATTCCCCAATTTTTTTTTTTTGTAAATGCGACTTACTAGGTTTTTACTTTGGACAGTAGTTAATATTTCATGAGAGTGACTGTTACTGAGAGTATAAACTTTTAAAAAAATAATAAAATTCCACAGTTCTAGTTTAAAAAAAACAAGTATTTCTAATGTAATACTGCAACAATAAAAATGATTTGTTATAAAAATAGAGAAGACATTTTAGAAATGCAAAGTTAGAAATAAAGAAGATAGAAATTTAGAAGCAATTAATTTTGCGCATAAGACTTTCTCTTTTTACTTTGGTTTTCTCCTTTGGTAACTTTAAACCACCACGGTTTAAATGCTTTAGCATTAAACTAAATTAGAATTTCGATTCTATCGTTTTGTAGCCGTTTGGATTGTTCTGTTGCCACTTCCACGTGTCGATGCCTAAAATACAGAGATTTAGAAATTAAAAATATATAAATTATCATCAGAAAACTTAATAGTTTTTTAAAATTAAAAATTAATTTTTTTTAAATTATTGATACCGACACATATCATCAATATTTCTAGTGGCGTGCCAGTTTAACTTTGAGTTTGCCAAACTTGCATCAGCATAACTAGAAGAAATATCTCCGGCTCTACGTTCCACAATTTTGTACGGAATTTTCTTGCCCGAAGCACTTTCGAAGGCTTGAATAACCTCCAATACGGAATAGCCTTTTCCGGTGCCTAAATTCAATGCCATAAATCGTAGATATCCTTTATTTTTCATATAAATAAGAGCTTTGACGTGACCACTCGCTAGATCCATAATGTGAATGTAGTCTCGAACTCCTATTAATTAAAAAATAATTTTTAATCTCCTTCGTCAATTACTCACTGATTTTTTACTATCAAATTAATTATTTTTAACTAATTCAAATTTAGAGAACAGTATAAATATATCTATAAAAATTGAAATAAAAAGCGATTTAAAAAAAAAACAAATTAAAATAAAAAAAAAGCGAAAAAAGCGAAAAAAAAAAATAAAAAGCGATTTATTTCTATTACCAGTTCCATCGGGAGTATCATAATCATTGCCATAAACATAGAGAGTATCCCTCTTTCCAACCGAGACTTGAGCAATGTAAGGCATAAGATTATTCGGTATTCCATTTGGATCTTCACCTATAGTTCCTGAGGGATGAGCACCAACAGGATTAAAGTACCTCAATGATATAACTGACCATGTCTAAATTTAAAATAAACATCTCTTTTAATAAAAAAAATCGATTACAGTAAAAATATCACGCTCTCTTAAATACCTTATCGGAATTGCAGAGATCTTGTAAAATTTCCTCGACAACAAACTTTGTTTTTCCATATGGATTAGTGCAGTCTCCTATTTTCATGTTTTCGACTAGAGGCAATTTTTCAGGTACTCCATAAACAGTAGCACTACTTGAATAAATCAAACATTTCACATCATTTTCATTCATAACTTCCAATAAATTCAGTGTTCCCCCAACATTTATTTTATAATACTCTAAAGGAATTTCACAAGATTCTCCCACTGCTTTCAAAGCGGCGAAATGAATGACACAATGGAAATTGTACTGAAATCAAAGAAATTCAATTTTAGACTGAATAAATAAAAACATAATTAGTTACAAAAATTATCATTAACATTCGAGAAATTTTATAAAATAAGGCAAATAAATTCATTGTCCGAATGTTTTCATTTTATTTCCCTTATTTTATAAAAACATAATATTAATCGAATAGGTACAATAAATTATTTATCGCCAAAAATGTTAAAATTAGTTACAAAAATTAACACTAATTAAAATTTCATTCATTTTCCTTCATCTATAATGAATATTTCTCGAACGTAAAAGATTGATAAATAAATATAATATTAATAGATATTTAATTACCTTCTTAAAAACTTGGTTTAAATTCTGTTTGTTTGTTATATCACAATTTATAAAAGTGACTTGTTTTTTAGCTAATTTCTCAACTCGTAAAAGGCATTCTGGTTTCTCCACGGCTTTATCTAAATTAACAAGTTCAAATATAAAATATTTAATTTAACATCGTTGTTCTTGACAATAATTCTAAAAAAAAAAACTTTTTTCCAATTAACAGATAACAAATCTCGTTATATTAATAAGCACGTTAAACACAATTATTATTAGGTAATTTAAAGTCTATTTAAAAAAAACTATAAAAATGTTTCAGATAAAAGATATTAAATAAAAAAAATGATAATATAAAACGGAGATAATAATTCAAGGACATTTTCCAATTGTAATCATGTTCAATTGAAAGCCAATGTCTATATATATACACATAATGTTTGCATTGTTGGCAAATTCCACGTCAACTGAAAACAATTTTTTTTTCGCTAATTTTTTAAAATCCGGTTGTAATTTTGCAACTATAAAATATATAAAACAAAACGGTAAGAAAAAAAGGAAACAAAACGATTTTTTATTATAAAATAATTTAAATTATTTGTAAAAAATATTAAAATCTTAATTAAATAATTTAAATTAATTAGAATAATTAATTAAATAATTTTTTTTTGCTAATTTTTAAAACTATAAAAAAATATAAACTAAAAAAACTATAAAACAAAAAGAAACTAAAAAAAATTAATTAGCTCTCGAAATATTAAAATTTTAATCATCTGAAACATTTTTTTGTAAAAAATATGTTAAAAAAATAAAAGTATGTAATAAATGAATAAATAAATAATATAGAAGAAATTTTTCAAATTGAATGAAAAATAATAGTAATTAAAACTAAAATGTATTTTTCGTGTGAATGTAAAGTTATTTATTTAAATTAATTCTTTCTCACCTTTAAAAGAATTGCTAAGATTGTCTATAACCACCACCTGAAAATCCGAATTTAGAAGTTCCAAAACAGTGTGAGATCCAATATAACCAGCACCGCCCGTCACCAAAACGTTCCATTTTGTGTTTGCCATTCCTACTGTTTTTTTTAATAATAAATAAAACTTTATATAAAGTAGAAAAAAAAGAATAAATAAATGTATATTTATATATTGAGAGAGTGAGAAAAAAAAGAAATATGGGTTAGAAGTATACAATAAATTGAGAACCAACCTTTTCACGAAGAGGCTTCAAAAGTAACTGATTCCTCGTAGCTTAATATTAATGTTTATCAATGTTTTCTCATTATGTTACGTCAGCAGATAAAGTCTTATTCAAGTTATAATGAACACAAGTAACAACACTCATTTTGACACTTCACAAGCTTCACAAGTAATTCTTATTTACTAATTTTTTTTCTCTTCTAGGAAATATAATTATATATACATTAGAGACGTATATATATAAAAAATATTTCTTTAAGCCCTAAGCACAATATATTCGCGATTCGCGAATGATCAAGAATTCCAGAAGGGGAAATCTACATTAGAGTAAGAGAGACGGTGGTACACCTGTCTCTCTTACTCCAATGTAGATTTTTCGTTCTGGACAATTTTTATTTTTTTACCACAGGTGTGAATGCTCCATTAGGGTATAAAAAGCAGAATTTCATGAGTGTGAGAGAGATAGGCAGATAGCACAGGTGCGTTGGCCTTAAGACTAAAGGCCGCTGCACAATATAGTGCATACGATAGAGAAGGAAACAGATATATCTCTTTCCTTTTCTAACACATGCCTCGAATTCACAACAGAATAATTGTCTACCAAGGTGTGACCTTACCTTAATTGCTTTTCGCAAGGTTGTCGAATGTCGACGACGACGTTCCCCACCCATGGAGACGTTTCGTTCCACATTTCGGATCTTCTACGAATTCGACGAGGTAGGAGAAGAAGTGGTGAGCGTCACTGACGGTGGAATTAGAACGTTGTTTACGGTTTACATTGCCCTGCCCATTTATACTAAAAGGAAAATACGTAGTGCTTTTTGTGAATAGTGTATTTTTTACATAATTTTGGTTGAAATTACTCTTTAATTTTGATTGTGTTATTAGATTTATCGTGACCGGTGTAAGCAAGTAAGTTTTCAGCAAGTTATTAATAAGTTAAAGTTAAATATATTAAAAAATTTATGTGTCAAAGAAAACACACCCGAATCCCCAATACTTTTGATATGTGTATAAGAACTCAGACAGTTGTCAGAAAAGTGACACAAGGGTGGTTAAGTTCTTGTCGGTCTTCTTTCTTACTTTTCTTTCTGATTAGTAGAGATTAATTACAGTCATCACAGTCGAAATTTTATAAAAAAAGAATTGTATATTCAAGTAAATTATTTTTTTCCCTCCCTAAGGTGTAATGACTTTTGGAAAGTAAACTTAAACTTCAAGTGTAATTTCAGTGTAAAAAATGTCATTATCAAGTGATTAGTGTTCAGTAGTCGGTATAGTTGATTAAGATTCATTAAATTACATATTTGGGAACAGTAAGTTTACTGTAAATAGTACTGCACTACTGTAAATAGTAATCATAGTAATAAAAGTTAGCATGCAAATATAATGGAAAAAACTTTTTTGATCAATAACACTAGGAGCAGTAGAGTTTATTATTTTGTTTTGTATTTAAAAAAGTGAACACAATTCTAAATTATCGCAAGAGACATTAAATTTTTTTCTACATTTTTTTATTTTTAGTATATTTATCAATATTTAATTCCTCGAATTTTTTATAGTCAATTAAATTTTGAAGAAATATAGCCAACATAAGAATGCAAAATTTTTTATTTAAATCTTGCAATATTTAAATGTAGAAAAATGATTTTTTTCGTAGATAAAAGAATATTAAACATTTATGTTTTGACTAAAATAGAATAACTTAAAGGGGATTAGATGTAAATTTTTCAACACTTTGAATCTATTGTTTGATAATAATAAAGAAAGGGAATAAAAGTAAAATTATAGTAGTTAAATGAAGATGAAATTTACAGTGACATTATTGCTCAAGCATGGAGAGCATACCTACCTAATTGTACCTATATACAACTCACGGTAGTAGTGGTAATGCATTGAAAAGTAGGTGTGTCGGTATATGTTTCGTTATTGTGTGCATTCTATTGAAGATTTACTTGGAGAATGATTGTACTATTAGGTGAGGCGGCTATGCGAAAAAGACTGAAAGAGTGATTATTTACCGACAGGTTTACAATGACTCAAGTTTAGAAGAATAATAATAGTATTATTAGAACTTTACATTGTTATTTTTTAAGTCAATTACCTTGAATTGAAGTTAAGTTTTCGAGTATATTCAATATTGTTACACTTTGGGTTGTGAAATTTGGTAAAATTTAATATTTCTTTTCTTTTTCTATACAATGTGTGGATAAATAAATTTTGAATAAAATAACTAAAAATTAATAAATTCTGAATAAAATACTAAAAATTTGATTTTTTTACACTTTTTCCATTTTTTTTTTAATATACGTGTAAAATTGTAATTATTTGATGTTTGAAGAAGATTCACAGTCTTTTTTTGTATTCGATGTGGGCGTGTGGTAAATATGCGAGACCCTCATTGTTAATTTGCCCTTTGACATAAGAATAAAAGTATCCAGCTTCTAATGTGAGAGCTGACATGTATCTTGTCTATAAATCTGAATTAGTTAACAATAACTAATAATTATTAGTAAAATCGACAAAATCGTGACTGACTTTTTTGCTTCAGCAATTAGGAAAACAAAATAACTGGTTATTAATAGATGATTACTAATTATGAGTAGATAAACAAAAATTACAAATAATTGCGGAAATTCAATTATTTTCAGAAGTAATAAAATTCTTCGCAGAAGATCAAATTATTTTAAAAAAGTAATAAAATTCTTTGCAGAAAATCAATTATTTTCAAAAAATGTTAATAAAATTCTGATCAAAATTTCAATTATCTTTCTAAATAATAAAATTCTTCTCCAAAATTCAATTATTTTCAAAAATTTTAATAAAATTCTTGGAAAAATTTCAGATTATTTTCAAAAATTTATAATTTATATATTTTCCTCAATTCAATGATTTTTAATAAACTTTTCCAAAAGAATTCAATTATTTATACAAAATATTAACAAAATTCTATGGAAACATTTAATCATTTTTATAAATCATAAAAATTTCACAGGAATTCAATTATTTTCATAAATATAATAAAATTCTTCTCCGAAATTCAATTATTTTCAAAATTTTTAACAAACTCTTGTAAAAATTTCTATTATTTTCAAAAATAATAAAATTCTTTTTCAAAGTTCAATTATTTTTCAAAAATTTTAGTAAAATTCTTGGGAAAATTTCAATTATTTTCAAAAATTTTAATAAAATTCTTGGGATAATTTCAATTATTTTTGTAAATAATAAAATTTTCACAGGAATTTGATGATTTAAAATACAATTTTCGTGAAGCTTTTCGAACAAAATCAATTATTTCAAAGAATGTTTATAGAAATCTTCACGAGAATTCAATTATCTTCATTGCAATTTTAATCAAATTTTTCGAAAGAATTCAATTATTTTCAAAAAATTTAATTTAATTTTTCACAGAAATTTAATTATTTTCAAAAATTTTCATTTAATTTTTCACAGAAATTCAATTATTTTCAATTTAATAAAATTCAAAATATGAATTGAATTATTTTCAATAAAATTTTTATTAAATTCATCGACAAAATGTGTAAGAATTAAATTATTCTCGCATAAATGATAAAATTCCTCACAGAAATTTAATGATTTAAAATAAAATTATCATACAATTTTTTACGAATATAATCGAATTATTTAAACAATTTTATTATAAAATTTTTCGCAAGAATTTAATTATTTTCATAAATAATAAAACTTATCGCAGAATTTCAATTATTTTTAATAAATATTAAATGTATTCCCTAAAAAATGCAATTATTTTTAAAAAATTTATTACAAATTCTTCCAAAATATTCAATTATTTTAAGAAATTTTGATACAATTCTTTATGAGAATTCAATTTTAAGAAACATGCAATTTCAGCATTTCAGCGTTAATTTTTAGAAATAATTGAATTTTGAAAATGTTTCAAATTAAAATCTTTGAAAATTTTTATTTTTCATATTTTTAACTAACAATTTTGTAGAATAAATTTTTTTGAAAAAATTTAATTGAATTTCTTTTAAATTATTTAACGTTTTTATTTTCTAATGTAGATTTAATTGAAGAATTTTTGATTTATCGAAATTTTTGATGAAATTGAATTGTAAACAAATGGATTTAAAAATTCTGAAAGAATTTTTCAATAAATTATCAAAAATAATTGATTTAAAGAATAATTTTAGTTAAAAATTGTTGAAAATAATAATTAAATTGAAATAATGAAAATAATTATAATTTTTGAAGAAATTACAGTAACAATATTCTTATAATATAAAATAATTATATTATCACTCGGTCTAATTATTATAAAATTAAATCTAATTATTACATAACATGAAGATTACTCGGAGTTATCGATATCTTCATTTTTTATAAAAATGAAAATAAAAATAAAAATGATAAATTCAAATCAGTATTAATATTTTTATAGGTTGTTGAATTTCAAAAAGGTTTGAATTAGAATAGAATTTTTTTCGAGTATCTAATAATTTTTAGAGTGAATCAAAATATTCTTTAGAATCAGGGAAAAAGGCAAAATTTTGTCTGGAAATTGGAAAAAAAAATTAAATGCTTGTTGAACTTACTTTTACTTCACTTTTCAAACATAAATATAGAACAGTAAAGAAATTGTTAATTATTTGTTTCAGTCTAGCACATAGGTGAAAGATGCCAGAGGAACAAAAACTAGGGAGTGGAGTAGTTGAAATGTCCACAGAAAATGGAACTGGAAGCACTTCGCCTAATAAAAGTCCCGTTAACAGGGGGAAAATGGCTGCGGCGAAAATCACTTTCTTGGATGGCACTGTCAAAGACTTTTCAATTGAAGTAATAAAAAAGAAAGAATGAAACAGTTCCTTTCTTAAAACTCAAATTTATATTGAGCGATTTGTATTTACCGTTCTTTTCTTTTTCTTTTTCAGAGAAAAGCAAAAGGCCAGGAGCTTTTGGACAAAATTTGTCAGAGTATGAATCTTTTGGAAAAAGACTACTTTGGACTTATTTACGAAGACAAACACGATCCAAGAAATTGGTTGGACCTAGATCGGAGAATTTCCAAATTTCTAAAAAGTACATAATTTATTTGAATTTTCCCAGAATTTTTCACGAAATAATTGTCGAATCATAGTTTTGAATTTATTTTTCAATTAAATTATAATAATTTAATATTTGAATATCTTTTCAAAATTTATAAACTTGTTCAATTCTATTTTGAATCTTTTTAAAATTGATTTTTCATGAAACAATTGTCAATTCATAGCTTTAAATTTATTTTCCAATTAAATAATTTATAATTTAATATTTGAATATCTTTTTAAGTTTTACCATCTCATTCAATTCTATTTTGAATAGAATTTTCTTTTTAAAATTAACAAACTCATTCAATTTTATTTATTATTGCAGATGATCCTTGGAAATTTAGCTTTGAGGTTAAATTTTATCCGCCGGATCCAGCACAATTGCAAGAGGACATTACACGCTATCAATTGTGTCTTCAAATCAGAAATGATATCATGACTGGACGCTTGCCGTGTTCCTTTGTTACTCACGCTCTCTTGGGATCTTATCTAGTGCAATCGGAATTAGGGGATTATGAGTTTAAAGAACATGGAACATCATATCTCAAAGATTTCAAATTCGCTCCTAAACAAACGCCAGAGCTTGTTGAAAAAGTAATGGATCTTCACAAAACACACAAGTGAGCAAATCATTTATTTAAACGTAAGGTCGAAGTTAAACAAATCACTATCAAAATTTTTTGCTTTATTCACTTTATTTTTATTTATAGGGGCCAAACACCAGCGGAGGCAGAGCTGCATTATTTGGAAAATGCGAAAAAATTAGCAATGTACGGTGTGGATTTGCATCCGGCAAAGGATTCGGAAGGTGTTGACATAATGCTCGGTGTTTGTTCATCGGGTCTTCTTGTCTTTCGAGATAAACTCCGAATAAATAGGTTCGCTTGGCCGAAAATTCTCAAAATCTCCTACAAACGACACAATTTTTATCTGAAAATCCGACCTGGAGAATTTGAGCAATTCGAATCGACTATTGGTTTCAAGCTCGTGAATCACAGAGCTGCTAAAAAATTGTGGAAGGTTTGCGTCGAACACCACACTTTCTTCAGGTAATAAATAAATATTTATTTATTTTCTTATATTAAAGGTGGAAGAAGTTAATTAATATTTTAATACTATAAATTAATAATTAAGAATATAATTAATACCGAATGATAAATTCTTTTCCTCTCATTATTTATTTTCTTACAGTTGAAAATAATTTCTAATTCTAGTTCTAATCTTCTTCTATACTAATAATCGTTGTATTCCGTTAATCTGTTCACAGTTTAAAGTTAGTTGTTTACTTTTTGCTTTCCTAACTTTTTTAAAAATAATTTTTCTTTTTAAACATTTTTAATTTTAAAATTAATTAAATGTATTGAAAATCATCGAATTATTGCAAAGAATTTTATCAAAATCTTTTTACAATAGAATTCCTTTGAAGAATTTTATTATTTACGAACAAAAATTGTATTCTCGCGAAGAATTTTGAAAAAAAATTTTGAAAATTCTATACATAAATTCCTTTTGAAGAAATTCTGTGAATTTTTTCTAAATAATGGAGTTTCTAAAAATAATTTTAATTAAAAATTTTGTTGAAATTGTACACAAATATTTAATTACACTTTTCATAAATAATAAAATTCTTCTCCAAAATTCAATTATTTTCAATATTAATAGTTTCATTTATTTTCAAGAATTTTAATAAAATTCTTGGTAAAATTTCAATTATTTTTATAAACAATAAAATTCTTCTACGAAATTCAATAATTTTCAAATATTTGAATAAAATTAATAAAAAATTTTGAAAATGATTGAATTTTATGAACAATTTCTTTCAAGTTTTTTTTTAAATAATTGTGTTTTGTTAAAAATTGAAATTAAGTATTTAATTATTGAAAATTATTAAAAATTTTATAACTAATTAAGAAAAAAATTGAATTCTTTCGTGAAATTTTTTTTTTCGAAAATTATTTAAATTTTTGCAAAGGATTTTACTATTTATAAATATAATTGAATTGTTTCGAAGGATTTATTAAAATTTAAGAAAATAATTGAATTCTTTTGAAATATTTTAGAAGGAATTAAAAAGAAATTGAATTCATTCGTGAAATTGTTTAAAATATTATTAAAATTTTGATAAGAATTTCACTATTTATAAATATAATTGAATTACCAGAATTTATTAAAATTTTAGAAAATAATTTAATTCTTTTGAAAAATTTTGTAAAGAATTAAAAAAAAAATTGAATTTTTTCGTAAAATTTTTTTTTTTGACAATTATTTGAATTTTTGCAAAAGTTTTATAACAAATTAAGAAAAAAATTGAATTTTTTCGTAAAATTTTTTTTAATAATAATTGAATTTTGTCAAAAAATTTTACAATTTATAAATAAAATTGAATTGTTTCGAAGAATTTATTAAAATTTTAGAAAATAATTTAATTTTTTGGAAAAATATTATTAAAAATTGAAAAAAGAGAATAATGGAATTTTTTTAACGAATTTTACTGTTTATAAACATAATTGAATTTTTACGAAAAATATTATTAAAAAATTTTTTTAAATTGAATGCTTTCGTAAAATTATTTTGAATATTTTGAAAAATATTTTAAAAAATTTTTAAATTGAATGCTTTCGTGATATTATTTTGAATATAATTGAATTTTTGATAAGAATTTTATTATTCATAAATATAATTGAATTACTCGAAGGATGTATTGAAATTTTATAATTAATTAAATTCTTTTGAAAAATTTTATACTCAATGAATTAAGAAAAAAATTGAATTCTTTCGTGAAATTTGTTTTGAAAAATAATTATATTTTGGCAAAGAATTTTACATTTTATAAATAAAATTGAATTGCTTCGAAGGATTTATTAGAATTTTTGAAAATAATTGTATTTTTTCGAAAAATATTATTAAAAATTAAAAAGAAAATTGAATTCTTTCATGAAATTTTGTTAAAATTGTATTAAAAATATAATTGAATTTTTGCAAAGATTTTATAAAGAATCAAGAAAAAATTGAATTCTTCCGTGAAATTTTCTTGAAAATAATTAAATTTTTCCAAAGATTTTACTATTAAAAAAATAATTTAATTTGTTTCGAAGGATTTTTAAAAATTTTAGAAAACAATTGTATTCATTCGTGAAATTGTATTAAAATTTTGTTTAAAAATAATTGAATTTTAGAAAAAAAAATTTACTGATTGTAAAAATAATTGAATTCTTACGAAGAATGTTATTATTTATGAAAATAATTGAATTCTTAAGAAGAATTTTATTAAAATTTTAGAAATTAATAAACAAGAATAATCAATTAGCAAATTAGTTAATAATTGAATTTTTTTTAAAGTTTGAATCTGAAATTATTTAAAAATTCATATTTGAAATTAAAAAATTTTGTAATTTGCCTAATAATAATAAATGGAAAATAACGTAAAATGTTACATTTTGTTCGTTAGTTCTAATTATTATAAATCTTATTTTGCTAATTATAATGAAAAGATGATTTATTTGCTTTTTTCATTGATGTAGGCTCACCAGTCCAGAGCCTGTGAAGAAGGTTGGCCTGATTCCACATTTGGGATCGAATTTCCGCTTTTCCGGCAGAACCCATTACGAGACTAAAAAGGTGCCTATAGACAGACAGCCGCCAAAGTTTGAGAGATTTCTCAGCGGTCGAAGAATCACCTCACGTAGCATGGATGGTATAAATTGGTTTTTCTTATTTTAATCTGACAATTTAATAAATGTTCTTGACGAAACCATTGGATAATAATGTGAGCTTTCGCTTAGCTTTAGGTGGTTCAAAGCAATTAGAACCCTACGGTTCAGAGCCTAGCAAACGCCACACCATGAGTTACGAGCCTGATACGATTCCCGATATGGAGCATATAGACCAACGACCTAGTCCCATCAAGAAGCAAAAAGAGAAGGTATGACTTGTTTTTACCTAAAAGAACTAAAGTTGAGGAACGGGTTTTATTAATCATGCATCAATCGATGGAAAGATATTTCACCGTTAGATTCGAAAACCACTATCTCTCCAACATTTCTTACAATTTCACAAATTACTCTTTTGTGCATCATTTTCGAAAGAAAGCAAAAAAAAAAAAAAAATTTAGACAAAAAGTTTTTTTTTCCACAAAAAACCGATGACTATTTATCGTATGGAATGCCAATTATATTAGGAAGTATTGTTGCATTGTGTCTGGCATACTTACATGCAATATTCTTACAACCATATTCTCAGACCATCATTTTTCATATTTATTTTCAAATTCTTTTTTAAATTCATTTCATTAACACTTGAAATGTATTTTCATTTTTTATGTTCACATTGACTTGTGATTCATCTACCCAAGGCGGTTATGCTAAATTTTGAAAATGCAAAACACCAATTGGCTCACTTTTATTAAAGGACATTTTTTTTTACTTTTTTCTTACATATTTTCCCAACTAATTATTTGCTTCCAATTTTACATAATATTATTATTGTAACTACAGGCCTCGGATCGACTTTAAGGATCAAACAAAATTTTTTAAATAAAAATATTGAAACTAAATAATTAAAAATAGAAAAAAGTCGTTTTGTCACAACAAATTTATTTTGTATTTCTTTCACTTATCACTGATTTCTAAATTCAATTATTCAAAAGTTGAATAATTTTATTGAATAAATATTGTCTGAATATCTGCTCTTGTCTTATTAATTCAAATCATTTTTGGAAAATAGTCGGAAAAAAGTCATAATATCCGAGGCCTGTTACTATTTTTTAATTACACTTAGAGTAAAGTTAAAAAAAAAGAAATTAATCATTAGTGATGCCGCATTATTGTCCATTATTATGGAGACGACTATTATTAGAAGAAAATTTTAATTTCTGATCAAAAATTGAATATTAAAGATCAGGTAATTTTTCTTAAAGAGGAAATACATAAAATAAAAGTCTAATTATATTTCCATTTCAAGAAATAAATGTACTTTATACACTAATTGTAAATTGAGAGAAAATATTTTCTTGTCAACATGACTTTTTATCAAGTCAATTATTTTAGCCAAGAGAATTGACTCGATTTCAGTGAATGAATTAAGTTCCTAAATGAAAATAATCTGAGAAGATTATTTTAAAAAAATTAAATTGTTTTTGATAGTAATGCACAAGTTAAAGTTTCTATTTTCGTTCGCATCTTTTGGGAGCGATTAAAGAGCAATTACTGTAAAAATAATGAATAACTGACACATGTCGTAACTAACACCAATAGCTCACTCGAAAAACAAGTACTGGAACGACCTCCGCCAGCAGTACCAGTAGCCTGGAAGGAGAGTACGATGCTAACCGTGGCAATAAGGTATAAAAGTACTTTAGAAATGATATTTAGAAAGTAATTTTATTATTACTATCTTTCCATTGTAATTTGCGTTTTAAATAGTCAGTGGCCATTTGGTGTTCTCATTTCCATCGATGCATGTCGCTACATATAATAATTATTAAATTCTTTCTGTCCGTACAGAATCCGTACTATATTCCATTACAGGGTTGCCACAGGTCAGGGAAATCAGGGAAAAGTCAGGGATTTTTATTTAAGTATTGGAAAAAATTTAATTTCCAAGATTCATAATTAGTTTTATTTCATTTTTAAATATATTTAATTATTTATTAAAAATCATGGATTTGTAGAAGAATTTTAACTAAAAACACTAAAAAGATTGAATTTTGTTCGAAAATTAAAAAAAAATTCCAATTGTCTTTAAAAGTAATAAAATTCTTCTCCAAAATTCAATTATTTTCAAAATAACAAAAATTTCACAGGAATTCAAGTATTTACAAATTTTTTTATAAATTTCTTCGCAATAAATTCGATTATTTTCATAAATAATAAAATTTTTTACAGAGATTCAATTATTTCCATAAATAATCAAATTCAATACAGAATTTTAATTATTTTTAATACAATTTTAATCGAATTTCTTGAAAATCAAGAATATTCTTGAAAATTTTATTAAAATTCGTCGAAAAAATTCAATTATTTAAAAAATTTTGGATAAAATTCTATATATGAGAATTCAGTTTTGAGAAACATTTATTTATTCAATAATTTTTTCACTAGCAAATAATACGAGTGCGAAACGCGGAATTCCATTTATTATTTTTAAAATATTTTAATTCAATTATTTTCAAGAGTTTTAATAAAAATTCAATTATTATTAACAATTCTGATAAAATTCTTCGATACAATTCAATTATTTTTATAAATTGTAAAATTCTTGGCAAGAATTCAATTATTTTTGCAAATAATAAAATTTTACTGAGAAATTCAATTATTTTTAACACAATTTTTATAAAATTTGTAGAAAAAAATTCAATTGTATTCAAAATAATTTTAATAGAATTTCTCCAGTAGGTTCAATTATTTTTAAAAATTGTTATAAAATTTTTCTAAACAATTATTAATTATAATTAATAAAAAAACACGCGATTATTTTAAAAACTTAACAGAAAATATTCATAAAATTCAATTACTTTCAAAATTTTCAGAAAAAATTATTTTAAAAAATTCTAATATTTTCAAGAAAAATGAAATAATTTCTTCAAAACAATTCAATTATTTTAAAGAATTTAAATAAAAATTTTAATTACATTTTCTCAAAAGAAATCAAATATTGAAAAAAATGTTGATAAAAATTTTTTAAATGAATTCAATTTGTATTCTCAAAAAATTTCTCAACAAGATTTAATTATTTTTAAAATTTTAATGAAATTCCTCGAAAAATGTAATTGTTTTTGCAATTTTTATTAAAATTCGTCGAAAAAATTCAATTATTTAAAAATTTGCTGATAAAATTCATTATGAGAATTAAATTTAAAGAAACATTCATTTATTCAATAATTATTTCATTTTTGTATTAAATTCCTAAAAAGACTTTTATTATTTATTAAAATAATTAAATCCCTTTAAAAAATTTTATTATTTTTGAAAATAATGAAATTATTGCAAAGAAATTCGGTAAAAATTTGTAAATAATTTTATTAAATTTTAGTAGATATTAAAAATCATTGAATTGAGGAAAATGTCAAGAATTTTTAAAAAATTTTCGAAAATAATTAAATTTTTGGAGAAGAATTTTATTATTTATAAAAAAAATTAAAATTTTGTCAATAATGTTATTAAAATTTTTAAAAATAATTGAATTTTGAAGAAGAATTTTATTATTTATAAAAATAATTAAAACTTTACCTAAAATTTTATTGTTAATGAAAATAATTGAACTGTTGACAAGAATTTTATTAAAATTTTTTAGAATAATTTTATTTTTTTTAAAAAATAATAGAAATTTTGCCAAAAATTTTATTGTTAATAAAAATAATTTAAATGTCGACAAGAATTTTATTAAAATTTTTGTAAATAATTCAATTTTAATTGAATTTCGGAGAAGAATTTTAAAATTTATAAAAATTAATGAAATTTTCCCAAGAATTTTATTGTTTAGAAAAATAATTTAAATTTTAACAAGAATTTTATTAAAATTTTGAAAATTAAAAATATTTGAATTTCAACCAAGAATTTAATTATTTGTGAAATGTAATTGAATTCTTGCAATAAATTTTGGAAAATAATTACATTTTTCGAGGAATTCATTTAAAATTGTATTAAAAATAATTTAAATCCTAGGAAAAAATTTATTATTTATGGTAATAATTGAATTCTTACAACGAATTTTATTACATTTTTTTAAATAATTGAATTGATGTAGAAAAAATTGTATTAATCTTCATGTTTTCTAACAATATTTTTGTAAGTTTTTGAATTTCAAAAAGGTTTGAATTTGAATGTTTCGAAGAATTTTAATTCCTACGGAAAAACAATAATTAAATATTTATTTAAAAAAGAAGTAAATGATGTTTTCGAATAATTTTGAGAGTGAATTAGAATATTCTTTAGGGTCAGGGAAAAAGTGAAAATTTTATTTGAAAATCAGGGAAAAGTGAGGGAAAAAGAAAATTAATTCTTTGTGGCAACCCTGCATTTAAAAAAAAACATAAATCTAGTGCTTTAATATACAATTTACAAATGGCATGATAATTGTCGTTTTTTTATTATTAATTAGCTTAGATGATATTTATATTTAAATTTAGATTAATTGTAAAGTAGTCAGGAGAATAATGCCTGATGCTTATTAATTGCTTATTGCATGATGTGAAGCGTGACTGTGTACTTTAATTGTAGAAACCGGTGGGAGGGATTGCTGTCCTACCGCCTGGTAGTATTTCCAAAAAGGAGACAAAAAATGAAAGTGAGAAGGAAAACCGTAATGATCTCAATAATTCTGATTTAATTAACGAGAGCTCCGGGCTCGAGAGTATTGATGAGAATTCAACGGGTGTAAGAGATAAATTAAAGAATAAAAATTCGCCAACAAAATCGGAAAAGGATAAGAAAGAAAAAATTAAGGTAAGCTCGCTTATAAGCATGTATATCAGTGCTACTTATATTTATATTAGATTAATTATTATTATGCAGTAGAAAAAATAATTTTTTATATTTCTTCTTTAATTGATGAATTTAGGTTTGCCACACAAGTCATATTGGGGAAAAGTCATGGACAATTTTATCCATTTTATCAAAAGTACTGGAAAAATATTCAATTTCTAGAATTTTTAAGAATATTCCGAATTTTATTGTCTAGCAGTCTTTGAAAATATTGAAAAGTTATAAATTCTTTATAACAATAATTGAACTTTACAGTCTTGAAATTGAATCTACTTTATATAAATTGATTCTTCAGAAACAATTTACAAATTATTATGCTAACAATTTTATTTAAAAATAAAAAAAAATAATTCAATTTTATAAAAATTGAACTTTTAATTGTTAAAATTTTAATTAATTAATTTATTTTTAATCTATTTTATTAAAATTCTTTCTCAGAATTGAATTATTTTCAATGTAATTTCCATAAAATTTCTCGTAAGAATTTAATTATTTTCACAAAATATCCATAAAATTTTTCATAATAATTCAATTATTTTCAAAAAATGTAATAAAATTCTTGCCACGAGATTCAATTATTTTCAATATAATTTTAATTAAATATCTCGAAAGAATTCAATTATTTTTAATAAATTTTAATGAAATTTCTTTCCAAGAATTGAATTTTTCCAATACAATTTTAATTAAATTTGACGAAAAAATTTACGAGAATTCAATTATTTCTATTCTTATATTAAAATTTTTTGCACGATATTAAAATATTTTCAATAAAATAAAATTTCTCGAATGAATTCAATTATTTTTAATAAATTTGAAGAAAATTCATTTTCAGAATTGAATTATTTTCAATTTAATTTCAATAAAATTTCACGAAGAAATTTAATTATTTTAAATAAAATTTTAAAAAATTCTTTTTCAGAATTGAATTATTTTTAATGTAATTTCCATAAAATTTCTTGAAGGAATTCAATTATTTATAATAAATTTTAATAATATTCTTGCCACGAGATTCAATTATTTTCAATATAATTTTAATAACATTTCTCGAAATAATTTAATTATTTTTAATTAATTTAAAAAAATTCTTTCTAAGAATTGAATTTCTTCAACACAATTTCAATAAAATTTCTCGAAAGAATTCAATTATAATTAATAAAATTTAATAAAATTTTTGCCATGAGATTCAATTATTTTTAATAGAATTTTAATAAAATTTTTCGAAAGAATTTAATAAATTTAAATAAAATTCTTTCTAAGAATTGAATTTTTTTCAATACAATTTCAATAAAATTTCTCGAAAGGATTCAATTATTTTCAATTTAATTTCAATAAAATTTCACAAAGAAATTCAATTATTTTAAATAAAATTTAATAAAATTCTTTTTCAGAATTGAATTATTTTCAATTTAATTTCAATAAAATTTCTCAAAGGAATTCAATTATTTTTAATAAATTTGAAGTAAATTCATTTTCAGAATTCAATTATTTTCAATTTAATTTCAATAAAATTTCACAAAGAAATTCAATTATTTTCAATACAATTTTTAATAAAATTCTTTTTCTAAATTAAATTATTTTCAATGTAACTTGAATAAAATTTCTCAAAAGAATTAATTATTTTTAATAAAAATTTAAATAAAATTCTTTCTAAGAATTGAATTTTTTTCAATACAATTTCAATAAAATTTCTCGAAGGAATTCAATTATTTTAAATAAAATTTAAGAAAATTTACTTTCAGAATTGAATTATTTTTAATTTAATTTGAATAAAATTTCTCGAAGGAATAAATTAATAAATTTTAACAAAATTCGTTTAAAAAATAGAATTATTTTCAATACAATTTTTATTAAATTCGCTGAAAAAGTTCCTACAATAATTTTTAAGTAACTATTTTTATATTGTAAAATGTTAAATTAATATTTAATATTTTTAATATAGATTTAATTTTTAAAAGTTTTAAATTAAAGTTTTAGAAAAATTTAATTTAAAAAAAAATTTTAATTGAATTTTTAAAAAGGTTTCTCAGATATGATTTAAAATAATTTAATTATAGAAGAATTTTTGTTATAACTTCTAGAAAATAATTGAAGTGAATATGATCTTCAATATATTTTAAAGAATAGTATCAATTCCTATAAATTATTGAATTTCAAGGGATTTAAAATTGTTAAATTGAATTTTTTTAAAATTGTAATTCCTGTTGAAAAGGAATAATCACTTGAATCGAATAATTTTTACTTAAGTCAAATAAATTTTATTTGAACCAATAATTTCATTATTTGAAATAAATACCATTTAACTTAAGTAAAAATTATTTCATTCTAGTAAATATTTAATTAAAAATAGTGTAATCGGTTATTTGAATCAAATAAATTTTTCTTTTCAGTATTAATAGGGTTAATTAAAAATTGTTTAGTCAAACTTCTGTCTGGAATTGAGGGAAAAGTTCATAAAAATATAAAATCAAATTTTTGTGGCAAACCTGAAATTAAATTTTTTTTTTCGAATTTCAATTAGCAATTAATTTCTTTCTTTTATTTTCCCATAAAAAAAAGAGCCCAGTTGGTGGCTTTCTCTTTGGTAAGAAAGACAAAGATAAAGAGGAAAAGCAGAAGCCAAAGAAAAGTAGAGTAATCGAAAAAGGGGATATTGAATCGATTTCCGAGAAAACAAATTCAAATACCGACGATAAAAAATCATCGGGTTCATCAGATTTAGGAGCTTTCATAAAACCCTACGAATACGAAGAGACCGCATCATCTCCAACCAAAAAACCACCAACCTCCCATGGATTTTCCTATGAAGAAAGACCAGCATCACCCGGCGTTACAAATCAACAATCACCAACAGGCACCGGAAAGAAGGCAACAGGCCTCGCCTTCAATTATGCACCCGGCCAAACGCAAAAAGTTGCCGAATCTGCCGAGAAACGAAAAACCAAAGACGACGGCAAACTGAACGAAAATAAAATCGAATTGAAACCAATTGGCCTCAAGACACCGGGGCTTAATTATGTCGAGTCGGCAAGTTTGAAGGAGCAACAGAAGGAAAAGGAGAAACAAATTTTGCCTCCCTCGGGTTCGGTCATGAAAGATGTGAATACTCCGTTTTTGAATCAAGAGCGACAGTCGACAATCACTCCTGTAGTGTCTGGATTGCCAGAAGAAAAGGATGAATTCCAGTATCTTCTCCTACCACTTCCGGATGGTTCGCGAGTCATTGGCGGAGTGATATTCACAAAGGAGGGTAAACCCCTGGACCAAAGTAACCTCGGTCCGGAAGGAGGGAAAATAATAGACGGCAAAGTCTGCGGCAAGAATGACAGTCCAATCAAGAAGGGCGACTTCGGTCCACATGGAATTCACATCTCGAATGGTCTCGTTGTTGGAAAGGACAACAAACCGTTAAATCAGAATATTATCGGAATCGATAATTGCTCTGTTGTTAATGGTCTGATAAACGGACCCAACGGTAAACCGCTAAAACGACTGATGTGTCCAGAAACTGTGGTAATTAAAGAAGGACGGTTACTTTTCAAGAACGGAAAAGTTTACCACAAGGAACGTTTGGGACCAGACGGGAGCTTTGTCAAGGAAGGTTTGATATTTTCCCACGACGGAAGACCGATGACTCAGGGTTCGTACGGAACGGATGGGAACTACATAGTTAGTGGAGTTGTCTGCAGTCGGGAGAATGGTAAACCCTCGAGTCAAAATGCGGTTCTACCCGATCCAACGTTCGTTAATGATGGTTTGATTCACGGACGGGATGGAAGACCGCTACCGAATGGAGAACTAGGTCACGAGGGTCTGGTTATAACGGAAGGTAGAGTCTACTCCAAGGAGGGAAAACCGGTGAAGCATGTCACATTCAGTTCGGATGGTTCGTCTATCAAAGATGGATTGATTTTCGGCAAGGATGGCAAGTTTTTGAGTCAGGGTTCTCTGTTGCCGCATGGAGCGCACTTGAAGGATGGTAAGATTGTGAGTAAGGATGGCAAGTCGATAAAGCATTCGTATTATAAACCTGATGGTAGTTTCGTTAAGGACGGGGTTATTTATGGCAAGGACGGTCGACCGTTGAGTCAAATTCCATTTATTGTGGATGGTGCGTACGTTAAGGAGGGTTTAATATTCGATAAGAATGGAAGATTGTTGAATCAGAGTCTCTTCAAGGCGGATGATACGATTGTAAAAGATGGTATTGTTTGCGATCCGAATGGTACGCCGAAGGGAAGTGGATATTTGGGTCCAGATGGTCTGGTTATTAAGGAGGGAACTATTGTTGGAAAGGATGGCAAACCGACGAAGCAGGAATCCTTCGGCTCCAACGGAAGTTCGATAAAGAAAGGTGTGGTTTACGCTAAGAATGGCAAGAGCCTAAATCAAGATTCTTTTATCCCCGAGGGAACTTGTATCAAAGAGGGTAAATTGTGCACTAAAGATGCCAAACCCCTAAAGACTGCTTTCTTCAAACCTGACGGTAGCTACATTAAAGATGGTCTTCTTTACGGACAGGATGGTAGACCTTTAAATCTAAGCTCCGCTCTGCCGGAGGATTGCTTCATTGCAAACGGAGTGATTTTCGATCAGTTCGGCAAACCGTTGAGTAAGGATACTTTCGGGTCCGATGGATCTTACGTGACCGCTGGTTTAGTTTGCGGGAAGGATGGAAAAATTGTCGAGAAAGGAGTCTTCGGACCGGACGGAAACGAAATAAGAAACGGATTAATTGTTGGAATCGATGGCAAAAGTGTGACCCAAGACGACAAGGGTCCCGACAATCTAGCATTGAAAGAAGGTAAAATAGTCGATGCCACGCTAGGCAAACCGAAAAATCAAGGTTCCCTCCTCCCAGACGGATGTTATATTCAAGAAGGTGTTATTTACGACCGAAATGAACGAATGGTCAAGCAGGGAGCTTTCCGACCAGATGGAAGTTACGTCAAAGATGGTCTGATTTATGGATGGGGGGGTCAATTGCTAAATTCGGGGTCACAACTACCAAGTGAATCGTACGTAGAGGATGGTCGAATTTACGGACAGGATGGCCAACCACTAAATCATGCTTCTTTTGGCCCAAATGGAGGATACATCGAAAATGGATTTATCTACGGACAAGACAAGAAGCCCTTGAGTCGAGGAACCTTTGGAACAGAGGGCAGTTACATTCAGAATGGCTCGTTGTGCGCCCCCAATGGAAAGCCCCTAACTAAACGAACTTCGGTCGTCAGCATCAGTTTCGTAAGATACGGTTTGGTCTGTGACGAAGATGGCAAACCCCTACAAACCGGCGTCTTCGATGAAAAGAATGGATCCACGATCAAGAATGGAAAGATCTACAACAACAGGGGACAACCACTTAATGAACAAGTTCTTGGCGAAGATGGCTATTTTGTGAAAGAAGGCCTCCTTTTTGCAACCAATGATAAACCATTGACGAAAGGAATTCTCACCCCAGAAACGAGTTACATTAAAAACGGAAAAGTCTACGATTCTACCGGACAACCTCTAACTCAAGAAGCCTTTGGTCCCGAAGGCGTGCGAGTTCTACAAGGAGTTGTCGTCGACAAGGCAGGTAAACCCTTGAAGCAAGGAGTCTTCGATTCCGAGGGAAACATCATCAAGGACGGAATTGTCGAAACTAAAAGTGGCAAACCTTTGGATAAACATTATACGATTACGATAACCTTGGTGAAGAGAGGTTTAATTTGCGGTAAGGATGGAAAACCTCTAGTGAACGCTCCTTTTGGAAATGAGGGAAATCTCATTAAGGACGGGAAACTTTACGATAAATCGGGCAATCTTCTCAATCAACAAGTATTTGGGGACGAGAAGGGTTTTATTAAAAACGGTATTATTTATACGGAAAATGGAAAGCCTATGGATAAGGAAATTCCTCAAGGTTTGTCGGGAGAAATATTCACTTCCACGAATGTTGTCGCTCCGGCAAAAACGAAGAAGGCTATTATTCCCGTCACGACGCCGATGATTGTCAAATCAACGACAAAGCACTCAGTAGTCAAGGATCTGGGTGGAGTGACTCAGAATATTGAGGAAAAAGTTGAGGATCTCACACCTGGAGGAAGTGGGCAAGTCGTTGTCAATACGCAAGTAAACAAGGTGATATACATATTTTTAATTTCGTAGAACTGCCTGTGCTTGTAAATATTGTTTTCATTTCTAACTAGTTTCTGCAATTGTATTTTCTGTACTTCATAATTTAGTTCTATTCACTGATGCAATTTTAATTAATAACTAGATCCGGTCCTGGCGGCGTGTGGACTAAAAATCCTATTAGTAAGAAAAGGACAAAGATACGTCTGTCCTTTTCTTACTAATGGGATTTTATGGTTAGTCCACACGACACCAGGAGCCTTGGCCTTTTTTGTCCTTACGGTTTGATGGCGTTTTCGAAAGTTGTGACACATCTATAAAAATTTTAGTTCGTGACGTAAGAATAAAGGCCAACGCAGAATAGGTTCGCGAAAAATTCATTTGCGAACGTGAAGAATGAGATAAAAAAAGATACAAATATATTTCTGTTTTTTTCTAACTCATGTTTTGCGTTCGCGAAGCAGTTATTAGGCCTTAATCGCCGATGATTACGTCACGAACTAACAAGATTTTGATAGATGTGCCACGACTGTTGAAAACGCCGTTTTGGAAGGAAAGCATAAATGCATTTGACTGTACTATGAAAGTTGATGAATTTGATTGCAGTTTCTTCGTAGATTATTTATATTTCAGTGTGCATATTTTAAATTAAAGCAAAAATATAATTATTTCTCCAGTAGATAACGTAGATTTTATAGTAATTCTTGAATGTTTTATTGTGACTAAACTTGATAATGTTTCACATAGTTGCATGCGTTATTAAACGTTATTTTGAATGTCCAAAAATACATAGATTCACTAAGATAATTTTTCTAGATTCGTCAAGGCTCCTGGTGGCATGTGGACTAACCATAAAGTCCCATTAGTTAGAAAAGGACAAAGATACGTCTATCCTTTTCCAACTAATGGGATTTTAAGGCTAGTCCACATGCCACCAAGTGCCTTGCCGGATCTAGGTAAATTATCTTAGTTCTGGGTTAATATTGCCAATTTTTTTTTTTATGTAAAAGTAAACTTCAAACATACCTAACACTCAAGGTGAGGTTTAATCGTTATCTTTTCTTTCTGCAAATTATATCATAATAATAAACTATAGAAGTAAAAAATTTACAAAGTAAAATATTTGTTTTGACTATTAAAATCTATTTAAAGTTAAAATTTAAATGTTTAAATTCATCCTTAAAGGAGTTTTAATTCTCGTTTTAATTCTCACTAAAATCATTCAGTTTTTGCTTTATATTATCTGTATTGAAAATTTGAAAAAGCACTAGCTTACCAGTAGTTGTATTCAGGCGGAGGCAACACCAGACGATGGTAAACCACCGTACATGACGGCCACTGCAGTCACAACTCGTACTGCAACCATGCACGAAGATTTGGGGAAAAATAAGAAGACCAGTCAGGTCAGTATATTTATTGATATCTATCAAAAGTATTTTGTTAGTATCTACTGGTAAATATTTTATTAAAATGAACAAAATCAATATTATCGTTAACTCCCTGCTGATGTCAACTTACCCCCACTCTATCGACGTTTCCCATAGTCCCCACCAAATTTAAAATGACCGTTATTGGCAAAAATCGCCATTTTGGTCGATAACGGTCCAAATTGGACCGTTATCGTCCAAAATGACGATTTTTGACAATAACGGACGTTAGCATCAGCAGAGGATTAGAAAATCAGTTTTGTATTCTTAACTAGAGACTAGCTATTGGTAAACTTTTTCTATAATTACTTGATGTAGCAGCTTGTTATCATTAGTATTGTTGTACATTAGGTTGAAGAAAAGACTGTAGCCCATACAACGGCAACGAGTGCAACACGACAGGAGCAACGGACAATGACGCAGGAAGTAAAAACAACAAGTCACATTCTTGCCGGAGACCAGGTAATATCATTAAACAAAACAATTTTTTAATTATTTTACCTAATAATTGCTAATGTGTATTGATAAATCTTTGAAGCATTTTTGGAACATGATTAGTATGCTTGTTATGTTAAAATCATTTCAATTTTTTATTTAGTTTCTTATTATTATTGAAAAAATATGATAAATAATTATCGGAAAAATCATAAATTAGACAAGTTGAAGATGTTCAATCTTTCATCGTTCTAATGTTGAAAATAATTCATAATGTAAATTAATCATTCAATCGACTAAAAAATGGCTTCAGTAGAAATTACAGTGGAATTTTCACTTGAAAAAAAAATGAATTACCTATGTCCGTAGTGTTGCTTAAAATTATTTAATATCACATGAATATTGCATTAATAATTAATTATTCCGCTTTTATACAATTAATTTATCACTTGCATAACCTTTCTGGTTGTATATATGCTAAATTATACAAAATATAATTTCGTAGATCCGGCAAGGCTCCTGGTGGCATGTGAACTAACCGTAAAGTCCCATTAGTTAGAAAAGGACGGAGATGTGTCTATCCTTTTCCAACTAATGGGATTTTAAGGTTAGTCCACATGACATCAGGGGGTTTGACGGATTTAGGTAAATTATCATAGATGTTATGCATTTTAAACGTAATATATATATAACTAAACAACAAAAATTAATTTTTTAATCAATGGTAATGTTTTTATGTACATAATTTAATACATTTAAAATTCACATTAATGGTAAATAAATTCACATTAATATTAAAAAAAATTAATTCACATTAATGGTAAATAAATTAATTCACATTAATATCAAGTAAATTAATTCACATTAATATTAAAATAAGAAAGAAAGGTCTTGATAATTAAAAAAAAAACTCATTTGTGTATTTATAAATAATTTTTGCTGCTTGGTTAACCGTTGCATGCATAGCTATACTCACGACGGCACAGTACATCAAGCTCAAGCAGTGGGGACTCAGGTACACCCATTGATCTTGACGATGATCATCAGGCTTTCTACAATAAATACTACCAGGTAATCCCGGATCGCTTGTTTTTTTTTAAATTTATATACATATAACAACATTTTTCATTAATGGTTACATATAAATATGTACATTCATCGGTAATTACATTATCTATTAATAGAGGCTAAAATAATTCGCATAGATCCGGCAAGGCTTCTGGTGGCATGTGGACTAAGCATAAAATCCCATTAGTGAGAAAAGGACGAAGATAGGTCTATCCTTTTCTTACTAATGGAATTTTTTTTGGTTAGTCCACATGCCACCAGGAGCCTTGCAGAATCTAGTTAAATCATCTTAGAGGAGATCTAACATTTTTTTGTATTTTATATGTATATTTAACATTCTTAACTAAATGTTTCAATTGTTTTCGGGGGCGTAGACAAAAAATATGTTTTGGGAAAGCTACGCCTCTGATTTTTTTTTATAAACCATTGTAATAATGTGTGCATGATAATTGATGTCAATAAGTTTGTAAATTTTTTTAAAAATACTTCCTTTATGAGGAAGTAAAAAGGTAAGATTTAAAGAGCAGTTCAGTTTTAGACTCTCTGCCATATGTACACTGTCTATATGAAAACTACAGTAATAGGTATTTATTATAAAAATGTGACGCGCTCCCAAATACGTAAGAAAGAAACCTCAAAAAAGGTTGCAGATTGTAGGTAAGGTTTTAGGTTATGTTTCTAATTTTTGAAGTAAAAATACACAAGGAGATTCAATTATTATTCAACATTATTGAACCTTTCAAGTCTTTATTACCTAAAATATTCGAAAAAAACTGGTTTTAAATTTAAATAATTAGAAAGGTAGTTTTTAATCCAGATAAGTTTGATACAAACATAACCTGTAAATGATATCTTTCTTGCTAGCTCATCACATATATTACATCGTCATGTATATTAGATAAAAGTGTCATGATTATAGGTCTAATTTATCTTTTATTTATTTTCTTTCGTTTACACACACAAAAAGGGATGTTAATTACAGAATCCCATTGTTGAAGCACTTGTTCTTTAATATTGTGCTTGAAAAATTTATCTCCCTTAACATAAAAGGAGTAAACTATGTTGATGATAATTTACAAAACAGCAATTTTTTTAAAGTGTAAATCAATAATAAGTATTTTAAAATTAATTTACTACACTCGAATCTCTGTATAACGAGAAGTTAGTGAATCAAAAATTTCTTTATTACGACCAAATTAAAAAAAGTCTTATTATTTTAATTTGTTTTTAAAAAATCGCTTTTTATTTCAATTTTTAATTCAATACTGTTCTTAAAATTTGAATTAGTTAAAAATAATTAATTTTTTTTTTTATAGTAAAAAATATAGTATGTAAATAAATTTTAAAAAAAATGATCGAATTAATAGAAATTTTGTGAAATTCAACTGAAAATAACTAAATTTGTTAAAGAATTTCTTCAAAAACTTTTTAACAACTCGAATTTTCAAAGTATTTTAATTTAATAATTGATAAATAATTGCATTTTATAAAAAGTCAGATTCTAATGTATTTTCTAAGTGAGAAGATTAATAATTAAAATTTTTATTAGTTAATTTAAAAAAAGATACACACTTAAAATTTTTTAATAAAATTGAATTTTCGCAAAGTTTTTTTTTGAAAATTCTGAAAAATAAGATTCTTGAAATTTTTCAATTCTATTGTTTCAAGATAATTGAATTTTATAAACAAATAATTGAAAATTTTTGAAATTTTATTTAAATTTTTCGAAAATAATCAAGGGAAATTAGTTAAATTTAAAATTTTTACAGGAATTCAATTATTTTTGTAAATAATAAAAATTCTTTTTAGGAATTCAATTATTTTCATAAATTAATAAAACTCATTGCAGAATTTCAATTATTTTTAATACAATTTTAATCGAATTTCTCGAAAAATGAAATTATTCTTAAAAATTCAATTATTTACAAAAATATTAGAATTTTTCACAGGAATTCAATTATTTTAATAAAATTGTTCGAAAGAAATCAATTATTTTAAATAGAATTTTAATGAAATTTTTAAAAAATAATTCAATTTATTCTTTTAGAATTATAAAAAATTCTTCTCAAAAATTTAATTATTTACATAAATAATTCTTCCGAAGAATTCAATTATATTAAAGGTAAATAACAAAATTATTCCCGAAAATTCAATTATTTTCAAAAATTTTAATAAAATGCTACGCAAACATTTAATTATTTTTATAAATAATAATATTCTTTGGAAGGATTTAATTACTTTTATAAATAGTAAAATTCTTTGCAGAAATTCAGTTAGTATTAATACATTTTAATAAAATTTTCAATTATAATTATGAACAGACAAGATTATTTTAGAAAATTGAGAAAAATTCTTTGTTTAATTCAATTATTTTCCAAATTTTCAATTAAAATTATTTCAAAAAAATATTAAAGAAACTCGTCAAAGAATTTAATTATTCATAAAAATTCTAATAGAAATTTTTTAAAAGAGACTTGTAGATTTATTTATGTTTGAAAGCAAATAAATTAAAATTTGATGGGGAAAAAATCTGGGAAAAATTTGTACAAAGCCGGGAATTCTAACAGGCAGATTTGAGTGTACATTTAATTATTTTTAATTAAATTAAAATAATCGCTATTATTTACAAGAAAATAATATTTTCGATTATTATTTTAAAGGGCGATCCTGCTGGTATAATTGCAACTGAATCTCACGTCTTTTCTGGCGAACCAGAAAATAACGTTACAACAACAACAACAGTACCAGTTGTTGCTACCGAGACAAGAAAAGTGGCACTTGAAAGCGAGGATGGAAATTATTCCGCAAAAGGAGAGATTGTCAGTTCACAAACTATTTCCAGTAAAACGCGCACCGTTGAGACGATTACGGTTCGTAAAAATAAAAATAAAAAAAAATTAAAATTAATTAATTAAAATTAATTAATTAAAATTATTAAATTATTATAAATTATTTACAAACATATTTCAAAACTTGTCTCAATTTTTATTATTCTTTTTTTTATTCTTCTTTTAGTATAAAACGGAACGAGACGGAGTTGTGGAAACGAGGGTTGAACAAAAAATAACGATACAATCAGATGGTGATCCAGTCGATCATGACAAGGCCCTGGCCGAAGCAATTCAACAAGCAACAGCAATGAATCCCGATATGACAGTAGAAAAAATAGAAATTCAACAACAAACAGCTCAATAAGGTTACAACAAAAAAAAAGAAAATTATTTCAAACGAAAGTCGAGAAAACTCTGTCTTAAAAAAGTTTTTCTAAAATAAGTATTTTTTACTTAAATCTTAGAAAACTCTAAAAAAAAATTAGATTTCTTGTACAAACGTACCAGACTGATTAATATTCAGGTATGAGCACTATATTTTGCTCTTAAAAAATAATAATAATTAAAAAAAAAAAGTTCAACTATTAAAATATTGATTGATGATGAAATCATGAATTACATTTTTACTAAACTTAATTATCAAGTTAAAGAAAAAATATAAAAATAATTTAACACGTAGATCGTGTGCAAAAGACAGAGGACTTGACTAACAATAAATTTTCTGTTGCTTTTAACAAAACGGATAAATATAAACAATAATACGAAAAAAAAGTGAAAGAAAACTTGTTTTTCTGATGTAAAAATCTCAATAAGAAATAATTTTTGTATAAAATACATAATATTTTGTTCAAATACTTTTTTCATATGGTTAATGTTAATAATAACATTAAAAAAAAAAATATTATAGCTTTGTCGCAATATTACCTGTATAGTACGAAACAAGTACAGTAGATTTTTTGTTATTTTAAGAAGATTAATAATGACGACATATTCTAGAGAGTCAGTGAGGTGACTGGATACAAAAATATTAATATATTATGTACGTACATGATGAACTATATACATAATGGATAATAAAAATAAAAGCAATTAAATTCGTTGGAGCTTTTAAATGGTTTGTAAATCTATGAAAAAAAATGAATAAAGCTCTAGCGAGTTTAATAGTTTGAATTTTTATTAAGTAAGATTAATTATTGAAATTAGATTAATAATTTATATAATTATATAATATCACATACCAAGGGCAAAAAAAAAAATGCTTTGGTCAGCGTATATGTCTAAATTTAGCAATAGCACATGTAGCTTTTTATGTCTACAAAAAAAAGTTTTATTTGAATTTTTCTAGATTTTGCCTAAAATAATAGCTCGTGTATTTATTAGGAGCATAAAAAAAGTACTTTTCTATTTTTATTCATAACTTTTTATACATATTCTCGCTCCAGTTTTTATATAGTTCTCGACTTTATTTTTAAATGGAATTGTTTGTCGAGTTTTTCATCAAGATTGAAAGTAAATTTTTAATAATTTGTGACGCGCTGTGAAGAAAGATACTAGCAAAAAAATTTTGTAGGTTATGTTTAATATTTGGAGGGGAAATAAAAATCCTTGTGAACCAAATTATCTTCTCTATCAAAAATTATCGAACTGTAAAACCAGCTTTTTTAAAAATATTTTCCATCGAAGACTTGTAGTCTTCGATGGAAAATATTAAAAAAAAAACTGGTTTTACAGTTAATTAAAAAGAAACAATGAAGAAAGATCGAAAAGAAACATAACCTAAAATTCGTTTGCTTCTAAGTTCTTGATAGTGCGTCACATTTTTAAAAAATTCAAAGTAGCTTTCATCATTATTACATAAATTTGATTATACAATAGAAAGTAAGGACGATCAACTATTTTTAAGGGCTTCTCTATATCACAATCCAAACTAGTTAACTGACCGCACTGTTCAATTCCACGTATGCTTTCAAAAAAAAAGGAAAAAACAAAAAAAAAATTTATCTTTCTATGCTTTCTATGCCTAGATAGAAATTAAATTTAACTGTCTCATTTTTTTTTTAAATATTAGCAATATATGAAAATTTTATGCATTAACAACGAAATATGTATGTATTAATAAAATTTTTATTTTATTTTATAAAAAATATTTTACATACTCTTATAAATTAGGATTTGTTTTTCATCTTATATAAATATTTATTATATTATGTTTTTTTTTATAAAATGTGTTTGTGAAATTGGTATTTCTATTTCTGAACCATGCAAATTTTAATTTACAATCATGTAATTATATATAAAATTAGAATAAACTAAATTAAGTACGTATATTAAAAAAAATCTATATTAAAAAAAATACTTTTTTAATAAACTTATTGTACTTTATAGTAATATTCGTTTTCTGAAGGACGAGGTATTTGAAAATGTATCATAATCCTTAATAACCCTTTTTTATAATTTAAGATAATTTATGTTGATTCGACAAGGGCTCTGGTGGCATGTGGACTAATAAAAAAATCCCATTAGTAAGAAAAGGATAGATGTATCTTCGTCCTTTTCTTTATGGTTAGTCCACATGGAACCAGGAGCCTTGCCTGATCTAGGGGAATTTTTTTAATTATCTTAGTTACAACCAACCTACAAAAGGAACAGTGAAGAAAAAGAAGAAAGAAAATAATTTACGAAAATATTTAATTACTTCAAGTTTTTCAATAATTAAATAAATGGAAGAGTGGAAAATTTTTCTTGTGGAAATACAGGTATTTCATTACGCTTTGATTTAGAAACACTTTTCCAAAAAGGTCTGGATAATTTATGATTTTCTTTTAAAAATCCATTAACTGATGAACCTATAAATAATTATTCTCAATTACTATCATAACTATCATAAATTTTAATTTTAATAAAATTTCTCGAAAGAATACAATTATTTTTAAAAATATTATATTTCAATTCAATTATTTTCAACAATTTTCATAAAATTCTTTGATATAATTTAATTATTTTTATAAATTGTAAAATTCTTGTCAAGAATTTAATTATTTTTGTAAATAATAAAATTCTTCTGAGAAATTTTTTCTTTTCTACACAATTTTAATAAAATTTCTAGAAAAAAAATTCAATTATATTCAAGATAATTTTAATAAAATTTCTCTAACAGGTTCAATTATTTTTAAAAATTGTAATAAAATTTTTCTGAACAATTCAATTGTTCTTAAAATTTTTTAAGAATTTTTAATTCTTTGTAAATTTCAATTATTTTCAAAATTTTCAATTAAATTATTTACAAAGATTATAATAAAATTGTTTAAAAGAATTTAATTTTCAATGATTAATTATAAAGTAATTTAATATGAAAATGATTAATTATAATTAATAATAAACATGATTATTTCAAAAACTTAAAAGAAAATATTCATAAAATTCAATTAGTTTCAAAAGTTTCAGTAAAAATTATTTTTAAAAAACATTTTCAAGAAAAAAATTAAATTCTTCAAAACATTTAAATTATTTTAAAGAATTTTAATAAAAATTTTGCCTAGAATTAAATTATTTTTAATACATTTTTAAATTAAATTTCCTGAAAGAAATCAATAATTGAAAAAAATGTTGATAAAATTCTTGAATTGAATTATTTTCAAAATATTATTTAAAAAGTTAGGAAAAAAAAATTTTTTAGAAATAATTGTATTTTTAAAAAAGTTTAATTAAATATTTTTTTTTTTTGAAATAATTTCAAGTTTTTATTTTTTAAATATTTAATTGAAGAATTTCCTAATAATAAAAATTTCGTAAAATTGAATTGTAAACAAATGTATTTGAAAATTTTCTAGAAACTTTTGTAAAATTTATTAAAAATAATTGATAATTGTTCATTTATTTCTTTCGAACAATTTTAATAAAATTTTTAAAATTAATTTCATTTTTTGATGAATTTACTTAAAATTGTATTAAAAATAATTGAAGTCCTGTGAAGAATTTTTGTTATTTAGGAAAATAATTGAATTCTTGCAACGAATTTGTATTACATTTTTTTTAAATAATTGAAATCCTGTGAAGAATATTATTAATCATGAAAATAATTGAATTCTTGCCACGAATTTTATTACATTTCTTTTAAATAATTGAAATCCTGTGAAGAATTTTATTATTTGTGAAATGTAATTGAATTCTTGCAAAAAATGTTTGAAAATAATTACATTTTTCGAGGAATTTTATTTTTTATGATAATTGAATTCTTACAACGAATTTTATTATTTTTTAAAAATAATTATTTAAAAAAGAAGTTATTGATGTTTTCGAATAATATTACTTTTGAAGAAATTTGTAAATAAATGCAATGGAACATTTTTTTTGAGTATCTAATAATTTTGAGAGTGAATCAGAAAATTCTTTAGTGGCAGGGAAATTGTGAAAATTTTGTCTGGAAATTAGGGAAAAAGAAAAATTAATTCTTTGTGGCATCCCTTTTAATTTACATCTTAGTTATGTAAATAAACACTTACTTGCTTTCCAAGGTTGAAATTTCGTTGCAGATGTGTTTGTTAATAATTCAGAACCAACATGTAGCATTGTTGTTGAAATTGATAGCTTCGGTGATGGAATTGAACAATCTTCTGCAGAAAGAAAGGTTTAAATATTATTTATATATTTATAAAACTATTTCTAATAGTTATTATTATCTGAGAATCAAATTCTACCTTTTATTTCATTGTTTCCGGCTTTTAATTTTTTCTTCGCTTCCTGCAATTCTCTTTCAATTTTGAATCTTTTAAAAAACTTGCTACAATTTTCGCTAATTTTTTTTTCGTCTAAAAGTTCTGAAATAAAATTATTATGTTTTATATATTATATTTTTATTACGTTTTATATTATTTTACTTGTTGAATAAAATTTTACCTAATTTATCATGATTTGCAATTACATTTTCTCTGTATCTAAATTTTTTCGTCACTGGATTCCCTTGTAAATGTAATTCTTGTAAAAATGGTAGATTATTAATTGCATGTAATAAGTCTTGAATGTTTTCAAGTAAATTATATTTTGCTTCAAGTACTTTTAATTTTCTTAAATTTCGCACGTCGTTCAAATTGTAAATCCTGTTTCCGGATACATTGAGAATCATCAAACACGTCTGTATTGGGACAAAAGTTGCATTTTAATAAAAATTATACAATTTTGTCATTAAGAAAACGAGAAGTTAAATTTTAGATTATGTTACCGAAAGTGTTTCTTAATGAAAAAATTGTTCAACTAAAAAAATTTGTCAAAAATTAAAGTTGAAGTAATCTTACTGCCAAAGTAGCACAACTTCTCGGTTCGAAACACAATGATTCTCCAGGATCCAATTTTTGTTTTTCAATATACAATTCTCTGAGAGACGTCAAATTTTCCAAGCCTTCAACAATGGCAATTTTATTGTAACCCAAATAAAGTTTTTTTAAATTTCTCAACGAATCTAAATTTTCGATTTTAGTTAAATTATTATGTTGCAGATATAATTCTGATAACTGATTCGCGAAATTCAAGTTTTCGATTTTATTAATGCCGTTGTTATGAAGATAGATAATTTTCAAATTTGTACAAGAATCGATATTTCCCTGAAAAATATATTGGAAAATTATATTTTTATAATTAATTAAAATTAAATATTTAATTTTATACGGAGTAGAACGATTTATAGATATACGTACAATGGCGGTGATAAATTTATTGTTCATAAATAAATGTGTCAATTTTTTGACATGCTCCTTGTCAATTTCTTTTGTCAGTGACTTATTTGATTGTGTTTCCGAGCATTTTCTCTCGATTAAGGCCGTTGTTAATTTTACCATTTTCAGTTCAAAAATAGGATAGAATTATTTTTTTAAACACTTTTGTTATTTCTATAGTAATGTAGATATTGATCAAACTCAAATTTTTTCCCTCGAGTTGAATTAAGTTTCAATTATCCGCCGATCGATATACTTAAAAGATTTGTTACTGTTTATAAATTATTATAAACAAAACAGTAACGATTGCGATAATCCCTTTTACTTTAATAGTTTAATAATTTAACTTTTTTAATAATTTAATAATTCAGAATTTAAAAATGAAAAATTAAATAATAACATTCTTCGAAAGAATTCAATTATTTTTATAAATTGTAAAAATCTTCGCAAGAATTTAATAATTTTCAATACAATAATTAAAAAATTAACAATATTTGAAAAGAAAAATTATTTAAAATAATAGGAAACAAAAAAGCAAACTAACTTCAAACTGCAAACAGATTACCGGATGAATACAATGATTATTAATATAGAAGATAATTCGAAACTCTTTCTTCAATTAATTAATAATATTAATGAAATTTATTTAATCAAATAATTACAATTGGAAATTTAAGCTCAATACTCAATAATTTAAGTTATTAAGGAAACATTTAAATTATTCTTTCGAGTAGAAAATACATAAACTGTATGTGACGCGTTTTAAAAGTACCTAAAAAAAACCTCAAAAAAAAAAAAAAATTAATTTCTAGAGCGAAAATACAGAAAGAGAATAAATTATTCTTTAATTTTTCTCTATCTGTCAAAAATATTAAATAGAAACTAGTTTTAACCTTACAAGTAAAAATTAAAAATTCGAACCATATAAAAACCTGTAAATCGTTTACTTTTCTTAGTAAGAAACGTCGTTTACCTTTTTCGGGAGTGCGTCACATATATAATTTTAAACTTTTAATTAAAAATGTGTGGTGGAAAATTTACTTTCGATACTTTTGTCTTTCTAATGACAATTTCCCTTGTATACTGCAATGAATTTGATATAGTCATTGTTGGATTGTTGATCTGACTGTGATTGGAATTTCTTGTTTCTTCATCAAACGATGTGAAAGATCTTTTGTTCTCACGTGATTTTTCATTACTAAGACAATAATTATTGAAATCAATAAAACGCTCATCTTCGCCTTGAATCTTCATCGAAACTGATTCATCATCAAAACTATAAAAATGCACACACAGGAAAATTTCATTAAAATATAAAAATAGTAAATAATATTTTTTAATGTTTTAATTATATAAATAATAATAAACAATAAATAATTTTAATAATATTTTTTTAAAAATAATATTCTAATAGTAAATAATTACTTGTTAGCAATATTTCTTTCCCGTTTATTAGCACGTCCTCTAATCCATTCAGCTGCAAAATCCTTTTCCTTTTTGCCCCGTGATCCTTTTTTAAATTTCACTAATTCCGAAGTTGAGGGATTATCAACATCGTTGAAGAAAGATGTTTTTAGATTTTTAAATGGCGTGATTATCTTTTCACTAATTATTTCATCACGTTTCGATGGATTTTTTATGAGGAAAGATGACGAATAGTCTTCATTTTCAATTTGCTTCGGTTTCTTAAATACTTTACATTTGTCCTTAAATTCAATGAATTCATCGATACAGGTTCTTTTTTTATATTTTTCTTTTTTTTCTTCAGATGCCATAGGAGGAAAATTGTATATTTCTTCTTTATTAAGGACACAGTTCCCTTTAAAAATCTTATTGTTAATTGAATCATTTAGATCGTCATTGTCTTTTTTTGTCGCTATTTGTCCTATTATCCAATTTCGATTGTGTAAAGAATGTTTATTTACAGCATTTTGTCCATTTTTTCCTTCTTTTATTTTTTGAATCGTAGTTAAATATTTATCAGCAGAAGTCATTTGTAATTTTTCATCTCTACTATTGCCCATCAATGAAGATGTTTGGTAAATTCGAGTTTCTGTTTCACAACGTTTTTTAACATTACTGATGTTATTGTCGAAATTCTTCTTTTTGTTCAGGAATTTGTTGTTCATTTTCAATTTATTATTCACGTCGTTTCTATTCAAGAAAAACAATAATTATGTACAAAAATGGTAGAATAATAAATATAATTAAAAGGTTTTTTTTTAAAAGTTTATTAAAAAAAAGGAAAAAAAGTTATTAAAACATTGCTAAGAGGCAAGAAATTTTAGGTTATGTTTACAATTTATGGAGTAAAAATCGTAAAAATAGAAAGAGAATCAATTCCAATGAAAAATTATTGAACTTCAAGTCTTCATTGCATTGAAAATATTTAACAGAAACTGGTTTTGAAGTTTAAATAATTAAAAAGTAAATTTTAATCTAAATTATCTGAATAATTGGAATTCTATGAGACAAACATAACCTATAATTCATTCGCTTCTTACCTTTATTGACGTAATATATTAATTGCTCTAATTATTACTAATTGAATCTTACTTGATTTTACTTAATTCTGCTTGGTAGTCCAAATTTTCTAAAGAATTACTTTCATTTACTGTTCTTTCCCTGTGAATTACATTTTCATGTAAATTAATGTCAGGTTTATCTCGAGAAATTAGGGAAGAAGTTACTATCTGCAGTGGTGTGAACATTTTTCAATTATTTTCTTAAAATGAATTTTTTTTCTCTCCTTTCCTTTTATTCACTGGATTTACTGTTTATTTACAAAAAGTTTACATATTTTTTCTACTTTTCTAGACTTGTTTTTAGTTCAGAGATGGGTAGTAAGTCTTCTTTCTCTCTTACTTGTTATGCAGGGTTGGGCAGTACACCTTAGGTAATAAATTAAGTGCTTTTTACAATAAAATACCTTTGAGTTTACTTCAAAAGTTTTGTAAAAAATATATTTTCTTTAGAGAGGGGATAAAATATATACATATTATTTTACCTTTGTAAAAATAAAAAACAGGTTTTTTACGTCAAAAACCCTCGAGTGATACATTACTACACAGCCCTGATTTTATGTCAAACGCCCCAACCCTGATCGGACCTGGACTTTGAACACGATCAGTAGTGTGAGCACACCTTTAGGCTGACACCTCCTCTACCGGGCTAGACTAGGACTTAACATTCTCATAACTTCAATATGTCAATGGTTATTTTTCTTTATTTAAAAATTTTCCGTTTCTAGAAACGTGGTTTATATTGTAATTAAAAAAGTGTCATTTATGAACAACCTTCCTTTTTTTGTATATCAATCTAAAAAGGACAACTATGCTTAAATTGAAATTACTGACAGTTTCTCGACCTCGAGTAACAGTTAATCGGTTATTTACCAAAAATTATTTGTGTCAGCGTCAAAAAGATTTACCGGTTAGACTTCGAGTTGCATCAGATTCAAGACAATTAAATTGGAGCACATCAAGAGAGAGAATTCGAGGATACAGTCAAAGTTCGGTAATTATTTCGACGAGAGCATTTTCCACCAAGAAGCCTTCTGACAAAAGTCCAGCGAGGTTAGTTTCTTGACTCCTCAGTCAATTTATTATTCTAATATTGATAAATTGATAATATAATAAATTATAATTATAATTCACTTATTAAATTTGAATGGAGAAGTAAATTAAAATAGTAAGAATAATTTATAAATTTAAAATATTAAAAGTACAATTTTGACACGAATAGTGCCAGTGAGGATGGCGAACAATCGGATGAATATCCTGCCACTTTGCCAGCGACTGTGGTTGTTCCAGAAATTTGGCCCAACGTTCCAGTTATAGCAATTAATAGACATCCGGTGTTTCCTCGTTTTGTGAAACTTATTGAAATAACGAATCCAATTCTTATTGATTTAATTAGACGAAAGGTGAAATTGAATCAACCGTATATTGGGATTTTCTTAAAGAAGAACGAAGAGTAAGTTTAAATTGTACTTTCTTTTATTTATAGTTGTAGTCAATATGTTAGTAATATTTTTTATGTTTAATGATAGAAATGATTCGGAAGTGGTTCAGAATTTAGATGACGTTTATTCAATTGGAACATTTGCACAAATTCACGAAGCTCAAGACTTGGGAGATCGATTGAAACTCGTTGTAATGGCACATAGACGAATTAAAATTGTAGGTCAAATTCTAGAGGAATTAACTCCCAAGGCTACAAAACATGGTGAGGAAAATATTTTTGTACTTTTAGGAGAAACTTTATGGTCAAGAATTTAAAAAAAAATTCTCCTTCTTTTGCTCAAAAATCTTTCTTAGTATCATAAAATTACTGTCATTTTCTAAAGTCATTGGAAGTAGATGAATTAAAGTAGATTAACTTTATGCAGAGATGAAACTGACGTTTCCTATATTAAATACAACAATTACCGTTCCTGTAGACGATACAATGAGCGGCGGTGGTAATAAGAAAACTCGTAGGTCTATTGTGCGAAAAAAATTTGAGCAGAAACCTCCCGATGAAGTGAAACCAGAGTCTTCTGAAGAAACTAATTCCGAAGTAGTCGAAGCAGAAGATAAATCAATTGACAAAGGGGAGAAAATAAATCCAGATAATGCTGTGCAACCATTCTTAATGGCCGAAGTTGTAAATATTACACACGAAAAATTCAGACAAACCGAGGAAATTAAGGTATAAAATAAATCGACATTTTAGTTATTAAAATGAATATTTAATCGTATTAATTAATATTCAATTGTATTAATTATTAATTATGCTCTACTTTGCAAAATATTTCAGGCGTTAACACAAGAATTAATCAAAACTATTAGAGATATTATCAGCATGAATCCTTTATATCGTGAATCTCTACAACAAATGTTACATCAAGGACAAAGAGTGGTTGACAATCCAGTTTATCTCAGTGATTTGGGAGCTGCTTTAACAGGCGCTGATGCTCAAGAACTCCAGCAGGTCCTCGAAGAAATGGATGTAAGTTTTTTTCCAATTTGAGAAACACTACTTTTTTCCTATATATTTTTTATTTGTATTTATATTTGCTCTTACTTGTATTTTTCAATAATATTTATTTTTCGATAATAATTTAGATTCTTAAAAGACTTCGATTGTCTTTAGCGCTTTTGAAAAAAGAATATGACCTTTGCAAACTTCAACAAAAAATTGGCAGAGAAGTTGAGGAGAAAGTGAAGCAGCAACATAGAAAGTATATACTTCACGAGCAAATGAAAGCAATAAAGAAGGAATTGGGACTTGAGAAAGACGACAAGGATGCAATTGAAGAAAAGTTTAGAGAGAGAATTCGTCAGAAAGTGGTTCCAAAACCTGTAATGGATGTCCTCGAAGAGGAATTAAATAAATTGAGTTTCTTGGAAAGTCATAGCAGTGAATTCAAGTTAGTAACTTAAAAAATTTGTTTAACTTTCCAACAGGAATAAATAATAACGATATTGCTCAAGACTTATAAGTAATAATTAATAATTAATAATTAATAATTAATCTTCTATATTAATAATCATTATTTACTCGAATCCGTTCGCAGTTTGAAGTTAGTTGTTTGCTTTTTTGTTTCTTAACTTTTTAAATAATTTTTTTTTCCAAATATTTTCAATTTTAAAATTAATGTATTGAAATCCATCGATAAATGTTGCAAAGAATGTTATCAAAAAATTTGATAATAATTGAATTCCTTCGAAGAATTTTATTATTTAGGAAAGAAATTGAATTCTTGCGAAAAATTTTGTTAAAATTTTTGATATTCTTTTTGAAGAATTTCTTTGCATTTTTTTTAAATAATGGAGTTTCTTTAAACATTTTGAAAATAATTGAATTTTATGAACAATTTCTTTTAGATTTTTAAAATAATCGTGTTTGTTAATAATTGAAATTTAACATTTAATTATTGAATTTTATTATAATTTTAGATAAAAATTGAATTATTTCGTGAAATTTTGTTAAAAATAATTTAATTTTCGCAATGAATTTTACTATTTAACAATATAAGTGAATTGTTTCGAAAGATTTATTAATATTTAAGAAAATAATCGAATTTTTTCGAAAAAGATTAAAAATTAAAAAAAAATTGAATTCTTTCATAAATTTTATTAAAATTATATTACGAATAATTGAATCTTTGCAAAGAATTTTACTATTTATAATTTATAAATATAATTAAATTTTTTCGAAGAAATTATTAAAAATTTTAGAAAATAATAGAATTCTATTTTCGAATAATTTAATAAAATTTTAGATTATAATTGAATTCTATTGAAATTTTTTATAATAAATTAAGAAATAAATTGAATTCTTTCGTGAAATTGTTTTGAATATAATTGAATGTTTGCAAAAAATTTTACTATTGATAAATACAATTGAATTATTTCGCAACATTTATTAAAATTTTAGAAAATAATGAACATTTTTTGAAATATTTTATAACAAGTTAAGAAAAAATTGAATTTTTTTGTGAATTTTTTTTTTCAATAATTGAATTTTTGCAAAGATTTTATAACGAATTAAAAAAAAATTGAATTCTTTCGTGAAATTATTTTTAAATTATTGAATTTTTTCAAAATATTTTAATGGAATTAAGAAAGAAATTGAATTTTTTCGTGAAATTATTTTTAAATTATTGAATTTTTCAAAATATTTTAATGGAATTAAGAAAAAAACATTGAATTTTTTCGTGAAATTTTTTTTAAATATAATCAGATTTTTGCAAAGATTTTATAACGAATTAAGAAAAAAATTGAATTGTTTTGTGAAATTTTTTTAAAATTAATTGAATTAAGAACAAAATTGAATTTTTTCGGATTTTTTTTTTTTTAAAGTAATTATACATTGTTGCAAAGAGTTTACTATTTAAAAAAATAATTGAATTGTTTCGAAGGATTTATTAAAATTTTAGAAAATAATTGGATTCGTTCGTGAAATTTTATTAAAATTTTCGAAATTAATAAACAAGATTAATTAATTAGCAAATTAGTTAATAATTGAATTTTTTTTAAAGTTTGAATTTGAAATTATTCAAAAATTTATATTTGATAATAAAAAACTTTGTAATTTTTTGTCTAGTGTGACAAGAAATTATTTGGATTGGCTAACTTCTATGCCTTGGGGTGTGACAAGTCCGGAAAATTTAAATCTAGAACGAGCTATTGAGATTTTAAATAATGATCATTATGGAATGGATGATGTCAAGAAATTAATACATGGCAAGTAGTTTTATTAATAATCGACTTAAATTTTATTAATAAACATTTAAATTAAAAAAAAAATTATTAAAGAATACTTTTTACTTCGGACAGAAATAATTTTAATTGAATTTAATTTTATTCATATAAATATAGATAATAATAGTAGAAAAATTGACATTTTCTTTTACTAAATTACTTGCAGAATTTATTGCCGTCAGTCAATTGAAGGGATCGACCCAAGGAACAATTTTATGCTTTCACGGTCCACCTGGAGTGGGAAAAACTTCAATTGCAAAGTCAATATCAAAAGCCTTAAATAGAGAGTATTTTCGATTCAGTGTTGGAGGTATGACCGACGTTGCTGAAATTAAAGGCCACAGAAGAACTTACGTAGGCGCAATGCCTGGAAAAGTGATCCAGTGTTTGAAAAAAACAAAAACAGAAAATCCTCTAATCTTAATTGACGAGGTTGACAAGATTGGAAAGTATGTATATTATTTATTTCCAATCTCCAATTGAAGATATTTTCAATCTTCAATTAAAGATTTATTTAACTTAATTTTTTACAATTTCCAGAGGTCATCAAGGAGATCCAGCGTCAGCCCTTCTAGAATTATTGGATCCAGAGCAGAATGCCAACTTTTTGGATCACTATCTTGACGTTGCTGTTGATTTATCGAAAGTTCTCTTCATATGCACAGCAAATGTCATTGACACAATTCCAGGACCTCTCAGAGACAGAATGGAATTAATCGAAATGTCCGGATATGTCGCCGAAGAGAAACTTGCAATAGCTCAACAATATTTAGTACCGCAAGCAATGAAAGACTCTGGTCTTTCGAAAGAACAAATATTAATTAACGACGACGCCTTAAATTCACTGATCAAATCTTATTGTCGAGAGTCTGGTGTTAGAAATTTACAGAAATACATCGGTAAAGTGCATAGGAATGTGGCTTATAAAATTGTGACGAAGGAAGCTGAGAAAATAGACGTTCTGTGCGATAATCTTCAGGACTTTGTGGGAAAACCATTATTTATGCATGACCGGATGTATGAAATTACGCCTCCCGGTGTGGTTATGGGACTTGCTTGGACGGCAATGGGAGGATCGACTCTTTTCATAGAGACAAAAACGAAATTCATGGAGACGTCGAAAAAATATAAGGGTTCTTTGAATTACACTGGACATCTTGGCGATGTGATGAAGGAGTCAATTAATATTTCAAAAATTGTCGCAGAAAGCTTTTTGAATTCAATTGATTCGGGTAATGAATTTTTCCAACATGCGCATCTTCATTTACACGTTCCCGAGGGTGCGACTCCTAAAGATGGACCTAGTGCTGGTGTCACTATTGCAACGGCTCTTGTTTCTCTCGCAAAGAATCAGGCAATCAGACAGGATCTTGCCATGACTGGCGAACTGAGTTTAATTGGAAAAGTTCTTCCAGTTGGAGGGATTAAAGAAAAAACAATTGCTGTAAGTGTAATATTCAATTTCTAATCTGTTTTTATTTAATTCTTCTTTATTTGATAAAAGATATTGAGGACTAAAGTCTCAATTTTTATTTTAGTCAATTTTTTCTTTTAACATTTAATTATATTTACTTAAAAAAAACGATTTTTTCTATTTTATATTTATTTAAATTAACAAATGTAGACGATTCCAGAAATCACAGTGATTTTTCATATAATATTAGGTAAAAAATAGGGGATTTTATTTTTTTAAAAAGGGATTCAAACTATGAAATTACCATGAATTCTTAATTTCTAATACAAAATCTTCAAATTTTTCTATTTCTTACAATAATTTATTTTTAAATCACTTAATTCATGAAGAACTATCATAAAATTATTACTTATAAATTATTTAATGAATAATTTTACTTCAACATTTTGAAATTAATTGAATATTAAAAGAGTTGCGTTTACAATTGTCATAAAAAGATGAACTTCAAAAAGTTTTAATTTAAAATTTTAGGAGATTTCAAGTTTTAATGAATTTAATTTGAAATTTTAAAGAATTGAGATTTTTGAAAAATTTTAATAATTCAAATTATCCTTAACTTCGTTAAATTTAAAAAAATATATTTAATTAATTATTAAAAATAATAAATTTATAAAAGAATTTCAGTTAAAAACACTAAAAAGAATTGAATTTTGGAGAAGTTACAAATAATTGCAGAAATTCAATTATTTTCAAAAATAATAAAATTCTTCGCAAAAATTCAATTACGTTTAAAAATTTTTTAAAGTTTTAACAAAATTCTTAGCAAAATTTCAATTATTATAAAAAAAATTTCCTTAATTCAATGATTTTCAATATCTACTATTTTAATAAAATTTTACAAAAGAATTAAATTTTTAAAAATATTTTAATGTTTAATAAAAGTCTTCTTCGAAATTCAATTATTTTCCAGGATTTTAATAAAGTTCTTGGCAAAATTTTAATTTTCATATTTTCAAAAATTTTCCTGAGTTCAATGATTTTCAATATCTACTATTTTAATCAAATTTTTCAAAAGAATTCAATTATTCAAAAAAATATCTTATTACAATTTTCTGAAAGAATTCAATTACATATTATTTAAAAAGAATTTTTATAAAACTATACGTAAACATTTAATTATTTTTAAAAATAATAAAAATTTCACAAGAATTTAATTACGTACAAATTTTGAGATAAATTTTTTCGCAATAATTCAATTATTTTTATGAATAATAAAATTTTTTACAGAGTTTCAATTATTTTCATAAATAATGAAATTCATCTCAAGAATTCAATTACTTTTATAGAGTTTTAACTAAATGATACTAAATAATTGAATTATATTCTTCTCAGTTTTCATAAAATAACTCAAAAAAATTCATAATTTTCAAAAAATTTAACAAAATTCTTCCAAGAATTCAATTATTTTTATAAATATTAAAAATTTTTAGATGAATTCAATTATTTGAAATTAAATACAATTTTTAATAAAATTCTTCTCCAAAATTCAATTGCTTTCAAAAATTTTAATAAAATTCTTGTTCTTAACTAACAATTCTGCAGAATTAATTTTTTTTAAAAGTTTAATTAAATTTTTTTGGAAAACTTTGTCAAAAAATATTAAAAATAATTGATTTAAAGAAGGATTTTAGTTCAAAGTTCTAGAAAATAATAATTGAATTGAAAGGATGAAAATAGTTTTGATGAAGTTACAGTAAGAATATCCTTGTAATAAAAAGTAACAATTTTTAAGTTTCAAGAAACTAAAATTTTTATTATTTATAAAAAGAATTAAATTCTTGTGAAGGATTTTATTAAAACTTTTGGAAAAAATTGATTTTCTTAATTATTTTATTAAAAATTAAAAGAATTATTTAATTATTTCAAATAATTTAATTAACTTCGAAAATAATAAATTTTGTTATTAAAAATCGTTATTTTCAGAATAAATTTTTTAATATCCGTAGTAAATTTTATTGAATATTATTAAAATTTAGTTAAGTTTTTTTAATTTACAAAAAATGATCATTTTTTCAATTTTTCTTAAAAATAAGGAAAAATGAGTAGAAAATCTTTGATTTTCGATGTATTAGGGAATTTTATTAATTTAAGGAGTCAAAAAAGGGAAAAAGAAAAAAAATAGTGGATTAGTTAAAAATGAGGACTAACTGTGATCCCTGTGTTTCGATATTTCTTTAATTTTAATTTTATTTCTTAATTAATATTAACAAAAATTTATTCTTTTACTTTAGGCAAAACGTGTTGGAGCTAAATGTATAATTTTGCCAGAAGGAAATGAGAGAGATTTTAATAATCTTCCAAAATATATCACAGAGGGACTCGAGGTGCATTTTGTGTCTTCCTTTAAAGAAGTGTACAGGATATGCTTTGAAGATAATGCCAACCAAACTCAACAATCACCCCTTTCTTCCGAATCAGAAAGAACTTAAATAAATTTAATAACTTTCAATAGAAATTGAAAATTTATCATCAAGATTGTTACTTTTTTTATATAAGTTGAAAACACTTTTAATTCTATTCTTTTTAAAGTACATTTATATACATATGTATATATAAACAAATAGCAATTCTGATAAAGTTGTTTACATTGTAAATATGTACAGCATTTTTTTGTTGATTTTATTTATTTCTTGCAATCTGGAAATTTCTAGTGGTTGAATTAAAACAGTATAATTATAAAAGTGTTGGTTAAAAATTGTATTTGAAATAGTTTTAATTGTAATAAATATAGATGAAAATAATTTTTTAATAAGCTAATTATGAGAAGTTTATTTAGAATAATTATATCTTCCTAAATGAAGACACATTCCGGCCTCGGATCGATTTTAAGACATAAAAAAGTCGCTATATTAAAAATACAAAATGAGAATTTTTAAGTATTTGTTTAGTAGCCATCGAAATATTTAAAATCAATTTAATTCTTATATTTACTTTTCGACATTTGAAACAATGTCTTCGACTCGCATTTAAATTTAGATTGTTTACAAAATAACATTTTAAGACACAACAGACTCTTTAAATTAAATCCTTTTTATTTCAAAAATACGGAATTATGTACAAAAGTTCAATTCAATTTAAATTAGGCACTTGGGAAAAATTAATATTTCAAAATTACTTATCTAGGAATATCCATTTTGCTCAATCGAATAATAAAGTCACAAAGTCGCATTTGTACCTGAATTTCCACTGGATTTGCAGTGACGTAAAAACCCGGTACTCCGGCTTTTTCCAAAATTCTCTGTTGCTCAGAAACTTTTTGATCCAATTGCAAAACTAATTCCATGTCAGTTGATTTTAATTCTTCTCTATGCTTTTTATCCAGAACGTCTCTCGATGACAATCGATCTTCTTCTGTATTTAATGTAGACATTGTTTCTTGTACTTCAATTTTATGAAGATTTAACAATTGTAATCGTTGTTGAAAGAGATGTTTTTCCGTAACGTGTTGAATTTCCATGAGTCCTTTGACAATTTCAAAAATTGTATCATTTAGAAGAGAATTCGCCAGTCCTGATAATAATTCATAGGGAAGTCGCATTTGATATTTTGGAGGCAGTGTTGAGGCCATTTGTTGAAGTTGTTCCACTAGGAAGTAGAGTTTTCTTTGTAAGTCATGTGGAGTTGGATCAGCATCCATTTCTTTAATTGTTTTTTTTTGTTTTTTTAAAAAAATACGATTTAAAACTGTCAACAAAATATTGGGTATGTAAATAACAATGATGATGAGCATGTAAAACTCATATGTTAGAAATGGGATATTTTTAGATATTGATATGTGTTTCTAGAAACAACTACTTATATGGTAGTGGCGCTGACAATCAAGGGAACAGTTCCTTTTCTTCTTTACTTTGCGGTTTTTGTTCAATGTGGACGCACCTTTATGAACGCACCCTTAAGCTGTCACTTTATTATCTATAACTTTATAATCTTTGTTATTAATCACATCGTGGCACATCGTGGTTTAAAAGTTTTTTTTTTAAAAGAAATAAAAACAGCGGTCAATAAATTAAAAAATAGCTGCACTCTTGTGCCGGTAATTATAAATGTATCAATATATAAATATATAGAAAAATATGTAGTAAAAACTTTTATTAATCCCAGTGTGAGTAAAATGAAATGTTTTTCAATAACAAAAAATTCTTTTTTTCTTCTGTTTAATTTTTTTCATGTGATTTTGTTACGTAAAGTAATTATATATATTTGTTGTTAAATACTTTGTTTTCTTTAGTTGTGTAAACAATTGTTCTGTAATTTTCATTTGTTATTTTTATTAAAATATTTTTTGCCTTTAACTTATATTGCGTAGTTTTGTAATATTTTCATCAAATTGTGAAATAACTGAATACAGAATTGTTATGATGAAATAGTTGCTAAAAATAATTAAATGATGGAAGAATAATAATTCTAAAAACAGTGTCATTTGTAAATTTTCTTTGTGTTTTATATGCGCATTTGAGGGCTGACAAAATTTTTACCTAAGAATTGCAAAATTTTTGTTAATAGAATTATACAAAAGTGAAATAATTTGATAAAATTTTTTTTTATAGATTCATCAACTATTATTATGATATTCTTAAGAAAATTATAAATTGGACTTGTAAAAGTAAGTAACGTTAATCAAGTTTTACGAAAATTTGTAATAATAATAATAATAATAATAATAATAATAATTTTACAAATAAAAGATACCATTAGGGACTTTTTTGATAATGGATTCGGATAATGAAGAATAATTATTATTTAATGTGATTTAACCCTGTGTCGCATGTATGTGTTTTTCCATGCCTGCATTTATTGCACTAATATAAAGTAATAGAAAATTACTGTTTTCAGAATAAATATATACCTACCTATATTAATTAATTAATTGACTCTAGTTGACGACGTGACATTTGTTCGTCCGCTCGTGGAATTAAACACACAATTCTTCGGTACGAATATTTTACACTCTTTTATTATATCAGGAATCACAGTGATTTTTTCATGTAATATTAGGTAAAAAAGGAGATTTTATTTTTCCAAAAAGAAGGATTCATTTAAAAAAAAGGGGAATTTTCAAGTTAAGTAAAAATTATTGTATTCCAGCGCATAAAATTTATTTTAATGATTTTTTTTACTTCTTCTCTTAACTAGAGCTTACTAAAATTAATTTGTATTTTTTAGTTCTTAATTTAATTCTTAAAAAACAAAATTTGATAAACTTTTACACAAACATTTAATTATTTTCATAAATAATAAAAATTTCACAGTAATTCAATTATTCACAATTTTTTTTTTATAAATTTCTTCACAATAATTGAATTATTTTCACAAATAATATTTTTCCCAAAGGGATTCAATTATTTAAAAAAAAATTTAATAAAATTCTTAGCAAGAACTCAATCGTTTTCAGAAATAATAAAATCTTTCACAGAAATTCAATTATTTCAACAACGTTTAAAAAAATTCTTATTGCAAGAATTCAATTATTTTCACAAATAATAACACTTTTTCCAAGGAATTCAATTATTTAAAAAAAAATTTAATAAAATTCTTTGCAAGAATTCAATTATATTCACAAATAATAAAATCTTTCATAGAAATTCAATTATTAGAAAAAAAACGTTTAAAAAATTTGTTACAAGAGTTCAATTACTTTGACAAATACAAAAAATTATTTACAAAAATTCATTAATTTAAAAAACGTTTAAAAAATTTGTTACAAAAATTCAATTACATATTTTCAAAAATAATAACTTTTTTCTCAAAAGATTTCAAATATTTAACAAAAAATTTAATAAAATTCTTTGCAAGAATTCCCTTGTTCTCACAATTAATAAAATGTTTCTCCAAAAATTCAATTATTTAAAAAAAATTTCATTAAATTGGTTACAAAAATTCAATTATTTTCACAAAAAATAATTTTTTTTCTATAGAAATTCAATTACTAAAAAAAAATTTTAATTAAATTCGTTGAAAGAATTCAATTATTTTCACAAATAATATAATTTTTTACTGCATAATTCAATTATTAAAAAACATTTTTATAAAATTCTTCCCAAAAATTTATTTTTCACAAATAATAAAATTTATTGGAAAATTCCAAATATTTAACAAAATTGTTTAATTCTTTCATGGAATTCAATTAAAATTGTATAGAAAATAATTTACTTCTTATAAAGAATTGTATCAAAATTTTTAAGAATATAATTGAATTTTTTCGAATAATTTCATTAAAATTTTTAAAAATAATTTAATCTTATAGTGAAATTTTTTTAAAATTCTATTAAAATTTAAAAATAGTTGATTTCCTATCAAAAACTTTTATCAAAACTTTAGAAAACACTTGCGAATTTCTACTAAAATTTTTACATTTATGAAAATAATTGAATTCTTGGGAAGAATTTTATTAAGATTTTTGAAAATAATTGAATTATTTACAAATTTTTTTGATAAATTTCTTCACAATAATTCAATTATTTTCAAAATTAATAACAATTTCTATAGGGATTCAATTATTTATAATAAATAATAGAATTTTTTTTAGGAATTCAATTATTTTCATAAATAATAAATCTCATCGCATAGAATTTCAATTGTTTTTAATATAATTAAAATTGAATTCATCGAAAAATGTTATTATTCTTAAAAATTTTATTAAAATTCGTCAAAAGAATTCAAATATTTAAAAATTTGTTGATAAAATTCTTTATGAGAATTCAATTCCATTCAATATAAATTATTTATTTTTGTATTTAAATAATTGAATTCTCGTAGAATTTTCTAATAAAAATTTCATTTAAAGTATTAAAATTCTTCGTTAAAATTCAATAATTTTTACAAATAATAAAATTTTTCGCACTAATTTTTTACGCAAACATTGAATTATTTTTATAAAGTATAAAAATTTAACGGGATTTGAAGTATTTTAAATTTTTTTTATAAATTTCTTCGCAATAATTTAATTATTTTTATTATAAATAAATTTTTTTTATAGGAATTCAATTATTTTCATAAATAATAAAACTCATTGCAGAATTGAAATTGAATTCATCGAAAAATGTTATTATTCTTAAAAATTTCATTAAATTCGTCGAAAAAATTCAATTATTTAAAAATTTGTTGATATCATTCTTTATGACAATTCAATTTTACGAAATATTCAATTATTCAATAAATTATTTTTTTTTGTATTTAAATAGTTGAATTCTTGTAGAATTTTCTAATACAAATTTCATTTAAAGTATTAAAATTCTTCGTTAAAATTCAATAATTTTTACAAATAATAAAATTTTTCACAATATTTTTCTACACAAACATTGAATTATTTTTATAAAGTATAAAAATTTAACGGGGTTTCAATTATATTAAATTTTCTTATAAATTTCTTAGCAATCATTTAATTATTTTCATTAAAAATAAAATTTTTTTTTACAAAAATTTTATTTAATTATTTTTATAAATAATAAAACTAATCGCAGAATTTCAATTGAATTCATCGAAAAATGTTATTATTCTTAAAAATTTTATTAAAATTCGTCGAAAAAATTCAATTATTTAAAAATTTGTTGATAACATTCTTTATGACAATTCAATTTTACGAAATATTCAATTATTCAATAAATTATTCATTTTTGTATTTAAATAAATAAATTCTCGTAGTATCTTTCTAATAAAAATTGATTTAAAAATTAATTTCAGCTTAAATTTTAGTTAATAATTGAATATTGAAATCATTATTGCACGAATATTTAGAAATAATTGAATTTTGAAAAGGTTTTTTTCTTGAAGCAAAACTAAGAATTTTTCTGAAAAATAAGGGGAAACGGGGAGAAAATTTATGATTTTAGGTGTTTTGGGAGATTTTATTAATTTAAGGGGAAAAGAGAAAAAAAGCGGACTAACTTGATTTTTGAAATTTTTTTTTGAAATTTGACTAAAATTTTTTCAAATGATTTAAAATCATATCAAATAATAAAAAAAAACTGTTGTACACCTCAGAAGTTGAATCGCACATGAATTTATATAATATATATATATAATATGACGATGATTCATTTACACTTTCAATGAAATAAAATTTACTGAAATGATTTTCAATATTAAAAAAAAAATAATAATATATTATTTAGAAAGAGACATTTGAAAATTAAATTAAACTTGATAAGAAAAGCAGTAAAATGGAAAAGATTTGTAGACGCTATTAATTTATAATTGTTATCAGCAGAAACGCAGCTTTCGAAAGCCTACTTAAGTTACGTTTCAAAGCAGTTTTTTCTTTTGCAGAATATGTTTGTTTCTGAACAAAACAGGTTGCATAATAAATGAGACGAGAATCATGTTACACACACACATATATATATATATCCAATAATGTATATAAATTTTCATTCGTAAGAAGTTGGAACGCTTTATCAAAAGTTCGCTCTAGATAATATAATAAACATTTGTTGTCATCTGCGTACACTAATTAGACTCTTAAGCTTAATTATAATCAAGGTATAGTTTGTTTCTTTGTATGCATATCACATACATACAACACACATGTCTTTCAAATTTCTTAATCGGAAAATTACTTTTTTTACTTCACGAACTTATATTTTTAATTATTTAATTATATTGAACCAAGGATTTCAAAATTTAGGATCTATATTATATTAATCCGCTGGATTCGATTCAAATTGCAATAAATTATTAGCTTTCGTACCCGTCATCTAGGAAAAATTAATTTTTAATTAATTGAGGGTCCCGATCAAAAAAACCGATTTAAGTTATTCTAAAACTTAAAATTCTTGACCTCTAAATAAAAAAAAAAAAAAAGAATTTAGAATTTTAATTTCTTGTAAGAATTTTGTATATTTGTATGAAGATTACGAAAATGTTTCTCAAAATTTTAATTTAAAAGCAATTTTTTTTCTTTATT